TGTGCCAGTGGTACAGAATGTTCCGAGCACAATGATTAAAAAATATACTTGAAAAGAAAACATTTTACAAAGAGGCGAAGTTGCACCTCGCATACACAAGCAAAAATTTGACCGGTAACGCTACTGGGAAAAACTGAATGAGTAAAACTTTGGTTATAATTTTTATATCACCTAAGAAATAAAATCTTTTTTTGACCCTTATAAAGTCCTTCACATTTTACTCGCGCTCTTCCTGCATTTTTATTAGAGAACGTAATTTTCATCCTCTTTAGCAAATAAACTTGAATTAAACCTAGCAAGAAATTCAAGGTCCAACCACTTAAATTAAAATTTGAGCGTGATAAAGTTTTAAGACTTTCTTCTGCTCATCACGATTTACGATTTACAAGTCTTCACTACACTCATTGGCGCTAAACAGTTTGTAAAAATGATAAGCGGGTAAAATTAGCAAAAAAAAAATGTGGAAGTCGCTGTAGAAATAAATTGGGAGTCGAGTCTCTCATCGTGCCATTTTAAATTCTGTGACGTTTAGTCTGAAAAATTTAAAAAAAATCGGACAGTTTTTCTCAAAATAGAGATGATTTTTTTTGGAATTAGAATTACGACTGAAAGGGCTGTAAAATGATACCAAACTTTTAAATCAAACACTTCGAAGCAACTAATTTCTACTTTCTTTCTCATCAATGTGAAAAACAAGACAATAAAACTTGTTTATTTCGGAGTACTTTCGGCTATACAGCCATCATCAGCACTGAAAAACATCCGCACTGGCAACTTATTTCTTTGAGGCAACCAAAATCATTGAAAAACGCCGTATGATTTTTGATTTGTGCATCTGTGAAGTAGTCGCAATAAGAATAAATACAAAAACAACAGACAGTTGGAAAATTGTCAACGCACTCAAGCAGTTCAAGTTGCGAAAACAATCAAGTTTGCGTATTTGTTCAAGTTTGCCGTATTTGTTCAATCAACGCCGTATTTGTTCAAGTTTGCGAAAACAATCATAAGATAATTTGTTTTATCCCTCTAGGAATTCTAAAAATTTAATTCTATTTTTGAAGTCATTCACACGTTTTATGCGCCATTTTGCTACTCGAGGGTGTAATGGGCCTAATTTTTCGTGAATTGAACCTGAAAAAAAATCAAATATCAAACGACGAAAAACCAATTGAGCCCGAACAAAGGTGATGACTTATTCTTTGTTAAGAAAAAACACGACCTATATGAGTGCCTTCACTACATTGATTGACACTTCATAAACCGATGAAAACTCAGTGAACAATACAAAGAATAAAAAAAACTAAAAAATTTCTTCAACGGTGGAAACCAGTTTTTATGCATGAGCATTTGATATTTCTATCCACCCTCTGTCAAGCCCATATGAAAAAATGAGACGTCGGATTTATTTACTGTTAATTGCAAAAAAAAGGATAACCGGTTGCTGCGCAAGAACCAGAGAATGTTCCAACCATTCTGTTTGAAAAAAAATACTACTTTTTTCAAATTGATGTCGTTTTTTTGCGTTGGTGTAACTTAAAGAAGCTGATCAAAAACCTATATCCTCGCCATATTCAGCACTCTTAGTACTGCAAAACGGCTGACAGCGTTTGACGAAAAAGCAAAAAAAAAACAAATACATAAACCAATTTTTTAGATACTTTTTCACAGACTTTTTTTGAATTTTTGATACCCAAATTAGCGGTGAAAAAACTTCGAAAACTAACTTTACTGGGAAAAACTAAATTTTTAGAGCTTGAAATTTCATGCTTTTTCCTTCTGTTAAAAGCCTATGATAAGCTTGATCGCTCACTTTCCTATTTGCTCGAAATGAGACTAAAAATCAAAAACTTCTAACCGTTTTTTTTCCGACACTAGGAAAATTTTGGGTGATAAAATTTAAAACACACCCCAATACAAAGTTCATCCCACTTTCAATGGTCAGGACAACAAAAAAGGTAGCCAACAAACAGTTGACATGGCCAGAAAAAAAATAAATGTTAAAGAACTGAAATATTATTTAGTTTTGTCATTTTTGTTTCGTCCGACCATTGAAGATGGGGAGGAATCATGTCATTGGGTGACTTTCAGTTTTTTCTTCTTTTTTTCAAAGCAAAATCAGCAACTACGAATAATCATGGGAATGGTTCGAGTGATATGTCATCTGAAAACTATTTTGATCGTGATTCGAACAAAAAGAAAGAAAATTCCAAAAACTTCAATGGCGAAAAAAAAACGGTTAAAATTATTGATATTTCGTCTAATTTCGGACGAATAAAGCAAATTTAAAAAGCTTATAACGTCAGTCGGTAAAAGAAATTGGGCCGATAAAACTTATTTCTAATCAATTTAAAAAATTTTATAGCGCCCATTTGGGAAAAAAAGTTTTAAAGTCAAAAAACAAAATCTGCAAGAAAATTGAGAACATTTTCGAACTATTTCTCAAATTCTTTTCCCATTTTATTTTTTTAAATACTTTTGTTCTAATCCTCTTATCGCACCAAGAACAAAAACTACGCAAGTTCAAAAAAAAACTAAATCTCATTTGAAAAAACTGCTATTTGTACCGCAACCGGCTATCCTTGTTAACGTTTCGAGTTACCTCAAAAAAAACATTACCTCAAATCACTTTGAAGTTCAAGAATCTTCAAAAGGCAAGCGAAGCTGAGATTCAAATTACTTGCGAATCAGAAACTATTTGAAAGAGAAACTAAACTTTGCAGAAAAGAGAAAAACTTTCAAAACTTTTATCGCAGTTGGTTGGGAAAGTTGTTAGTTTAAAATATTGGGTATAGCTATCAAAACCAACAAAATATTGAAGAAGTGTGGCAACTAAATCAAAAGAGTTTAGCAAAAACAAACATAGCCAACTAATAGTTGGAAAAGAATAATGCACGCAAGGTAACTGAAAAAAAAACCTACTTGTTTTTTTCCAAAAATCTTCGACTTTTGAATTTCGCAGAAAAAAAACAGATGGCCTTAAAGCTCTTTGAATTTGTAGAAAAAACAATTTAGTATGGACACTTTTTCGCTAAAGTTAACCCAATTTGAGAAAACTGGTTCAAAAGGTAAAACTTTCATCTCGCTGGGAAATCTGATAATTAATTTCCATTGTCAAAATTCGAGGTCGATCATGTTTTTCGCGACCTTTAGAATGCTGTTGTTCGATAGAGGAGTTTGCCTTCGTTTTAACAATAGAAATGCACTAACCGTAAAAGAAATCAAAAGTCAAACCGCGAAATATCAAACTTGAGCGTGAACAAATTTTAAAGACTTTTTCCTGAAAAAAAAAACAAAAAAAAATCAGCAAGACCTATATAAGAGTACTCACTACGTTCATTACTCTTAACCAAACCGAAATTATTCCTGAAACGATCCGTCAGGAAAATTGCCTCTTAATATGGAAAAAAGTTAAAACTTGAGTGAAACAGAAAAAAAACAGCTTCAAAATCAAAACAAACTAACAACGAGCATTTAAAAAATAGATTTAAAAAACATGAAGAGTGAGGTAAACACCATGCAGCCGGAAAAAAATCATTGGGGCTTCCTTCACAAGGTTCGCAGCGGATTGGAAAAACAGACATCAGAGGTTAAACTGATTCAGAACACAAACTTCAAAACTCAAAAAATAATAATTACTGTGAAATCAAGAGCAAGAAATACGAGCTAAACAGGGAATTAAATGTGCGTTAAGGAACCATTTGTAGCATCAAGCGGAAAAACGCAGCTCTGAAACTTCAACTTTAATGAAAATAAACTAACACGTGAAGAACCATTTTTTGCAGTGCGGGTTAATTTTTGAGATAGAATGACCTATTTCAGAATTTGAAGACTTTGATTGCAAAAACTTTTAGGGTTATTCAGCCACAAATGAGTTTTGAAAAGTAGTAGAAGGGACCTTCAGATGACAAGGTGTCGAATTTGCTACTGCTTGAATTTCATACTTATACTTCCTCAAGTGATATGAATTCTTACTTCAAGTTAATCCTGCGTCATGACATTATCCGCAATTACCACAATACGCATTAGCGCAGAGTCACATAGCCCGAAAAAATTATATCATCAAAATCAGTCGCTGCTCATCCTAATCGACCCTCGTCATCTACTTATCGAAATAGAAGTAATAAATATTGTCTGAGTGAAAAAGTAATGGTATCCGCCTTTCCATCGAGAGCATGATAATTCGATGCACACGATGATCTGACTTTGTTTCTTAAGTAGGACGCAACGCTTACCGGTCCCAAAAATTAGTTAGAAAATTAGCATGAAATCTAAGACAAAATTAATAAAAAGTCTTAACTAAGAGGTCGAGCAGCAGTTCCTGGCAATGGATTGGAAAGCTTGAAGTTGGTGGTATTTTTACCCCGTGGGTAAATCATGCCAATCTATAATTAAAAAAAAACTATAAAAAAAAGTCTGAACTAAATGGTCGAACAGCAATTATTGGCAATAGGTTGACCTAGCTTGAAAGTTTTGATGTTTTTTTTTTCGTGGATTAATCAAGCAAGCCTAACAAGTCATTTTCCAATAGTAAACAGATAATAAGTGAAAGGTCATTTAGAAAAATTTCGTTTTTTTTCTCGGTCATTCAAATTGATTTTTCGAGCTCTCTCAAACCACTTTAAAGACCCTTTTGACCAAACTTTCTGAGCCACAGGCAACTGTTTGAAAAACAGGCCAAACCCCCCCCCCCCCATCCGCTAATGTAGGCAAGTATCTCGTCAATTCATTCAAATGATTGTCAATACGTTGCTTCTATTACCAAAAAAAACTATCATTTTTGGCTATAATATAATCAGAATAAATTAGAATGATCAAAACCTTGATCTTTATATAATAAAAAATAAATGATGTGATTTAGATTTTTTTGTAGTCAAACTACGAATTGACGAGATGTATACTTTTAAACTGGCGAAGCAACATAATGCATAAATTAGGATGATCAGCCTTAATCTTGATATTGCTTGGCCAATCATTTTAAAGTACAGTGTAGCGTGTCTAACAGTGTGTGAGGTGGTGTCGATTGCAGTGGTTAGAGTGGACACTGCCTCCGAGCTCTCCAGCACAAACTGTCGCAGATTCTTCTCCAGGGCTCTCTTCTGCCTTTCACTCAGAGCACCACTCACCTAAACATCATCAAATCTACACTTACTTACTCTCAACCTACTCATATGTGTTCAAACACTATGTCCTTTTTATAAATTGCCCACAATCAAAATCGGTTGTTTGCGAAGCTTTTATAATTGGTGGTTTTTATAGTTGCAATAAAAAATTGCAAGCACAATATTGATTTAAGGTTTGCAATGAATTTTTGAGCACGCCAGCTTAACCTTCCTCACTATCATCTTATCACAATTATTCGTGCCCATTTCAAGCGTTTTTAACATACCAGAGGACCGAAGTGTGACTAATCTAGGTGCCGAAATTATTCAATCCTCCTTTATCCCACTAAATGATCACCATCAAAGTATCACCTCGCCATCAAAGTATCACCTAACTGTCATCACTTGACGTATCACTCCAATCTTCCTCCATTTTACTTATTCTTGCTTGCCAAACAACTTTTAAAATGGGCTCAGGCCACCTACCAATTTTGATAAATCAAACCATTACCGAGGATATCCTTGCCATTACCAAGAATATCCTTTACGCCTCGTAAAACTCATAAATTTAAAAAAGCGGACTGAAAAAATGTGAAAACTGAAATCGCAAAGAAACCTATGCAACATTATGTTCATGCCGCAGAGCGCATTTTTTTGCGATACGGTTCTCTTTGCAGCCCGTCACCAAATTCCTGCAGGCCGTCGTCATTTCTTGATCCCTGCCCTAAATGACGAAACAAAGAAACTAGCTCAACAAAGAGACAGTATCAGAATTTTATATCCATCCGATTCACAAAGGAAACATGTCCAAAACCTCTAAAATTAAGAAGAAGGACGAGAACTTTCATTAACCAGAGGTCGTCTAGTAAATTCTGGATAGTGGTTCGATCTCTCAAGGGCTTTAAATTTGGGGTAGGAACCCATCCTATCAGTTTTATTGACAAAGATTTTCAAGTCGAAAGACGTTGCAAAAACTTTTGAGGTACAAAACACCAAGAACACAATACAAAACAGCAAAGCTCAAAGATAACGCTGAGAAAAGCTCTCAAACTCAGCTTAGCTGACTCTTTAAGCTTTATACAACGCAAAGTGGGAAACTCCTGACACAGCCAAATCCTTTGGAGCAGACCGTCTCTGCACGGTTGATCTTAGTTATATTGACGTTTTAACTGGCAGCTTTTTAAATTCAATTTTTAATCGCTCTGTTTCTACACATTATCTCTCCATTATAGAAGAAATCAAAGGAGTACTCCTCGCGAAACCTAGGAGACCCTAAATTGTCAGAATCCTACCACCAGGTCTCAATTTTATTAAGTCGAGTTGCTAAAAATTAAGATTCACGCGCTAAGTTCTTTCGCCTTTCAACACTACAAACCGATTGTAAAAACAAGAGCACCCTAAAAGTGACGAGCAGGAGATTTCAAATACACATCTCCTAAAAGTAATTACTCTCGAACGCCCCGTTTTTTTATTAGCCCGCTGTCCTGCTCAGTGCAGGACCAACCAAGGGAGAGAGATGTCATCCATTTCGCCGCAGCCGGTCCCACCTTGAGGAGGCGGATGACACTGGGACCCCTCCAACCGTGACCAAAGTGGGATTCGACCGCCTGACCCTCGTGTTGAGAAACGTGTGCCTAACGCACTCGGCTGCTCACGCTCCGTTGTATCCTCTTCTGAAGAAGCCTCACTTCGCGCCAACAGAAGAACCCTTTCCCAATTAAGGTCACAGGTTACGGCCTCTTTTTGGAACTCCTTTTAGAATAGACCTGTTTAGAATAGACCCAAACGTCCCTCTTAACTGCGCCTATTGTATTTCCAAACACAACTTTACACGTTTTCAACTGTTCTAAGAACACCACTACCCTGACTCCCATAGAGATGTGGCTTCGGAAGACCGAAGCTGCAGAAAATTTGAAACTCGGGTTCAGCATGCCGTAAGCGCCCTCTCGGGCTTGACAACAACAACAAGGATGTCTAAAGTTAAATTGGATCGAAAGCATTTTGTAAATATTATTAGGAATATATTTTATGTCGCCTCATGACGAAAAAGTTTTTTTCGTGACATTTACAATTTCGCTGTTGGATAGTCGAGTTTGACTATTTTTAAAAATAGAAATGAATTGATCTGGAAAAAGAATCAAGTCAAACTGCAAAAAATCAAAAACAGGCGTGAAAAAATTTAAGACTTTTCCTCAAAAAACAGAAGAAAAATTTCTCACGACCTATTTAAGAGTCTTCACTGCGTTTCTTTGACTAAAAAAAATCCAAAAAAAAATATATCTCAATGACCTGCACCATGAGAAATTTGACAAATCGCATTCGATATGTTAGGAAACATAGCCAACAGACAGTTGGAAAAAAATGAACGCAAAAATCAGAAAAAAATACGGGTTTACTTTTTTGAAAAAAATCACAACTTTCGAATTTGTGCCCCTAAAGCTCTTTGAAATTTTGGAAAAAATTATGATTGAGACTTTTTTGATATAATTAACAAAATTTGAGAAAACTGGATCAATAGGTAAAATTTTTATTTTGCTAGAACATTCGGTAATTCAATTCCACTATCAAAACGAGAAGCTGTATCGCAATGATTTTAAATATATATATATATATATTACAGACCTGCTGCTTCCAGGACGAGCTAACCATCACTACGGGAAGGAACTTCTGGGCAGAAATGAGAGTCTCAAAACAGGACTTCAAGGTAGAGAAAAGACCTGTTAGTTCAGGGATAGTAGAGATCGCGCACTCAGTGCAGTTTGAGAGGATTGTCAGGCCTCGTTGAGAATAGTCCTGAAAAAGGCGAAAAACTAGCACGAAATTAACAAAATAACTAGCTTGCTCAAGAACTTTTCGAGTTTTTGAAATCAATAAAATACAATCGGAACACTGTAGTTAAGGTAATCTACTAAATTTCAACATGCGTTAAGATTGTAATTAAGCGGACCGTATTTGTTATTTTGTGCTCAAACGCAGAGCTTCATAAAATATCTTGTCTTGATGAAAGTGAAGATTGAGCTAACCTGTATAAACCTAAGCAGGAACAGGTACAGCGAGGGCATGGTGTGCACAATGAGGTTACTATTCTCGAGAAGACACCCTCTGTTCGCATTCGCACTGGGGGATGATACCAGACTATTCAGCACATCGCTCTCCTCGTCTTCCGGGTCTGCGCCAGAGGTTACACCAGAATAATGCGTGGCGTTGTTGTCATTCCTAAACCCACCAGCGGTACTTCAAAAATCATAGTCAATGTGAGAAAAATGCATGCAAAAACACCAAATAATAGCCAATAATTGAAAATATGTTAATAAACACACGCAGACCCAAAAAAAAACATAGACTCTTAAACAAAATTTCAACTTCCCAGTTTCAACGAAAAAGAAATCTATCACTTTAAAGCTCTTGGTACTTTTATCCGCTGGGAAAAAAAACAGCCAACTGACAGTTGGAAGAGTAATGAGCGAAGTGAATCTGAAAAAAAAACTTTTTTCAAAAATCTTCGACTTTTGAATTTCGAAGAAAAAAAAAGATGGCCTTGAAGCTCGTTGAATTTGTTGAACAGTTTATGATGGACACCTTTAAGCTAAATTTAACCCAATTTGAGATAACTGGATAAGTTAAATTTAACTCAATTTGAGATAACTGGCTAAATAGATTTAAAAAAAATTCGCTGGAAAATCTGATAATTAATTTCCATTTTCGAAATTAGAAGTCGATCACGTTTTTCGTGACCTTCACAATTTTGCTGCTCGATAGTGGAGTTTGCCTTTCTTTTAACAATAGAAAATGCACTGAAATTAAAAAGAAATCACAAGTCAAACCGCGAAAAATCAAAATTGAGCGCGAACAAAATTTAAGACGTTTTCCTGAAAAAAAAATAAATCAACAAGACCTATATAAGTGTACTCATTACGTTCATTACTTTTAATGAGAATCCAAATTTAAAACTAAAAGCCATTCACCACTTTTCGTGTCATTTGCACATATGTTATTGGAGAACAAGAGTTTTCTTCCATTCGGCAAACGAATAAGCGAACTAATTATGAAATTAAAAGTCGAATTACCAAAAAAAATCAGGGGGATTAAAATAAATAATTTATATGAAAAGAAACGAAAAATTCACCTTGTTCACGAGCAATTCACGAGCGTACATTAAACCTGCGTAATTTTAAGATTGTCCGATCAAAACCTTATGTCGTAAAACAGTACAAAAGGGTGGAATCGTTGGGCGGTCAGAAAACCGCATGCCTGAGGTTTGGGGAGGGGTTAAAACCAACCCTCCTCTTGACCCCAGAAATCACCCTTGAATTTTAACACATCAGGGAATCTCGCTGAAGAAAAATACAGAGCATCCAACTTTGAAAAAACTCAATCAGAAATTTAGACAAGGCAAAGCGGAGCACTTGCGATACCACAAAATTAGCATTGTAAGCTAGCAGACAGAAAATGAATAGCGGGCAGAAAATAAAACAAAAGCCACTAAGTCGAAAAAAAAATATTAACATTTCGAAAAAAAAACAAAAATTTCAAAATTTTATCTGGAATGACATTCAATTTGACAAAAAACACGTCCACAAACACAATAACTGGTGTTCAAAAAGCATTCAGGCAAAACTTGAGCTAATTTCTTTTCAATTAATTTTTTTTTTTAATTCTGATAAAATTTACGCCCCTATCCCTCCGAAAACACACAAAAGCATGAACATTAATTTTTTTTAACCCTAGCCGAAACTATCTGAGTCCAAGCAAAGCTTTTAAGCAAAAAAAAAGAAATTACAAACGTATGAAGTACAAATTACAGTAACAAATCATTACTTTTTCAATAATAATAAAAATAACAAATAGCGCAGAAAAAATCCTAACCAAATCAACAAAGCCGACCAAACACTAGCAGACACACAACATGCCAACCATGTTTGAAGCGGAAAATTTCCCTTTAGAATAAAAAAAACAGGTTCTGGCCAGATTCGAACATAGGACCTTTACAATCTCAGTCGTGGTTTTTCTCAAAGTTCAATTTTAATTTGATTTAAGCCAAACTATCATATGATTCAACTATTTTGTAAAACAAGAAAATTCCCTGATCCAACAACTAAGCCGGCAAAACAGAGAGAGAAACTAAGTCCGAAAATTTCTTTGAAGCGGTATATTTTGTCTTAAAACCTGCCTGGAGTCGAACTCAAAAGCTTCGCCTTCCCAGGCGTACTCGTTACCTCTAGGCCAGGTTTGCCGGAGAAGCCAAGAAAAATGATTTTAGCATCAATATTAAGAGTAGTCATATGACTTCCTAGAAGTACAGTCAGAAGCAGCAGTAGACCGGTAGTTTAATTTAAACTTTCAAGAATTAAACACGACAGCTTAAATTTGTAAACAAGTTGTTAACCCGCAAAAAGTCTATATTCCGATTTGATAACACTTGCTAATCGCAAGCGTAACAAACGAAATACATCGCAGACTAGCGACTGAACAGAAACAGTGGAATTGATGTTAGCTTTGTTTTTATAACAACTCACTCACCTTGCCGTTGTGTTCAAGTTATGCAGTTGCAGCGGTGGCGATAAGAAATCATTGACAGCCTCGATCCAGTAGAAGTGGAAGTCATGCAGGTTGAGTGTGAACAGTCTGATGTCTATCATGTCCATTTGAGGCGATAGAATGAGAAAGGCTGTAGGCTGCAGACTCCCTCCCAGCTCCATCTCCCTGAAAACATAGTCAACAGACACTTGAAACAGAGTCAAACAACGCAAGTAAACAGAAAAAAATACTGACCTAGTTTTTGAAAAAACCTCACATCGGAATTTTCAAGAAAAAATGAAATGCCTCAAAACTCTTAATTTCGAGAACAAATTATGATCGAAAACTTTTGATAAATTTAACCAATTTGAGAAAACTGGATCAATAGGTAAAACTTTTATTTCGCTGGGAAATCTGATAATTAAGTTCCATTTTCAAAATTAGAAGTCGATCACGTTTTTTGTGACCTTTACAATTTGGCTGTTCGATAGTGGAGTTTGCCTTCCTTTCAACAATAAAAATGCACTGAACTCGAAAAAAATCACAAGTCAAACCGCGGAAAATCAAAAATGAGCGTGGACAAATTTTAAGACTTCTTCCTGGAAAAAAAATCAGCAAGACCTATTTAAGAGTCTTCACTACGTTCAATACTCTTAAAAATTAAATTCCACAATCGATTTTAGAAGTCGATCACGTTTTTCGTGACCTTCACACTTTCGCTGTTGGGCAGTGGAATTTGCCTTCCTTTTAACACAGGAAAAGGACCGAGCTTAAAAATAAATCAAAACCGAACCGCGAGGAGGTAAAGTTGAGCCTCAAAATTTTTAAGACTTCCAGGAAAAAAAAAACAACAAAAAAAGAAAACCCTCGCGACCATATTAAGTTCATCGACTCTTATTCAAACAACAAAAATGACGTCATTTAAGATTTCGATGCTGCAGGGATAACCAATTTTACATGAATCACAAAAGGAGTGCACGTATCGGGGCACAGTCCTATATGTTCCGACTGCATTAACACACATCTATAGAGTAAGGTTCGCTCAAAAAGATGAAGTTCGCTTTAAAGAGTGTTTTTAAAAACTATCTCCCCACAAGCTATGGAATTTCCATAGTGACATTTCACTAACTCATCTTAAGCCCAGTTATGCCTCAATTACTTTTATTCTTTTAAATGTAAACCGAATTTTAAAATTTTAACCTGAGGGTAATAATTTATCTAAGGCCAGTATTTAGGATTCAATTGAGTCACAAATTCAAGCTAATTGTGGTGATGACTCAATTTTGCGCTATGCAGTTTGATTGTACGTTAACGCAATTAAGTAGGTTTAATCCGCAATTTTACAAATCAAATGAAGACAAACTGTTTCATTCTGTCTATTTTCATTCAAAATAGGAACAAATGATTAGAAAAAATTCTTAGCGATTATCTCAACACAAACGCCACACTCTTGTAATTGATCGCCACTAATATACCAAGAAGAAAGAGGCAAAAATGGAGAAAAAAACACTTAAAACTGCAATTTTTTCAATAATATACAGTAAATACTCCATTGGCAGGATTTTATCCCATGTGCATTTATGCTTTGCCTCCCAATAAACGCAAGCATACCTAGAAGAAACTTTTCAATGATTTGTTACAGCTCAAGCAAAACGCTCAGCTCTCTTTTCTTTACCCCGGAGACCTGATTACGACTCATTCTTGCAATCAATTTTTACCAGTTAACGTGATTGCCAAGGTTTACGTACCAATTGCGTTTGACCAAGTCATCGTGTAGCAGATTGCTTTGGGCTAGATGAGACCAATAAAGACCAGCTGGATGAGGTTGCCTCATATTTCCGAAAAAAGCTATACCAATGGAAGGGCAATAAGACGCAACAACGAGATCCATTACCGTAGTGGAACCACTCCAAAGAATCCTTAGCTGACCTAATAAGTGCAAAAAACGCTGTATAATGATAGCATCTTGGTGTCACTGTCCAATTTAACGTTGTCCAATTTAACGTTTCTGGACCAAGTCAAACTCGATGCAGCCAACTAAACGTTCTATATTTTCAAAGCCGCCAGAGAAACAGCAACCCCAGTCGTAAGAAAAACCGATAATTGCATGAACGAGAAACAAACATTGTTCAAATATTCGACAAATTTTTGATGTTCTCTAGCTCAGTTGAGCCACTCTTAAATATCACCTTTAGAAAATTTGAGGAATTGTCTACATTTCAATTGATATTCCAAAAAAAGCACTTTTTCAGGTTACCGGCGTCCAAAAGGTCTGAGATCTTGAGCGGTTATAGAAGCCAATATAAAATTATTTTGTCTCTTTCCCTCACACAGACCCTAACGCCTTGGCCTGAAACTGGGGGGTATAACCCCACAATTTGATAACAACTAGTCAAACCTTTAGTAATCTTTGACATTTATTTAAAATTTGATTTCTCGGTCAGTTGATCTTTGAAAGTTTTGATTTTAAAACACTTGCATTATTCACTAAGTATATCGACTTCACGTGACATGACTTTTGCTCATTCAAAAAAAACAGATGTAACGCGTTGCATTTGCAAATTAGTCAGATTTATTTTTACTCCTTGATGCTTTGATAACGTTATTATTTCTAACGAGGTATCTTACATGGCTTCGAAATTTTATTCACATGCGGCAGATACTTCATGGTCTAAGATAAATGTTCTTTGGTAATCATTCGGAGTCGTTCTACAGAACTCCTCAAATACAGAGGGTGCGTTTTCTTTATGACCAACGTAGGCTACACTGGAATAAGTTAAGACGGGAAGTAGGTTAAAGTGGAGCAGTGTAATAGGCAAAGTGTTCGAAAGTCCAAAGGCGAATATAAAAATTGAGCGAGAGCAATCTTTCAGATTTTCACCGGAAAAAACAACGAGACTAAAATAGTTAGAAGTCACTTAGTTCAATAGCAACTTAAAAAAATTAAAACGAAAAAATTAAATTCAAAGCGAACTTATTGTAACAAGTTTTTTTAAACCCATCTGATCAATCTAAAGGAAAATTCAATGGGTTCATTGAATCATGGAAAAGTCATAGCACAAACGGCACATTCCACTCTAGTTAGAAAGAAAGCAAAAACTTAAGAGCATGCTCTAAAAAGAGTTAGAGAAGATAAAAAGAATCGCTAGTTAAAAAATACTTTAAACAAAAGAAATTATAACAAAGCACATCTTACACATAGCGGAACTTCCCGAACCAGCCCAAAAAGCAATCAATGTTGGAAAAGCATCAAAGGAAGCAAAGAAAAAGAAAAAACACTGACTTTTTTTTTAATTCTCTCTAAAATAAAAGGATATAAAATGAGCTTAAACTCTTTATATTTAAAAAACAATTTATGCTTTTTGATAAAAAAAGAACCATTTTTCAGCAAACTGAATAAACAGGTAAGTATATGTCTCCAGCGATAAAAGTAAAATATAAAATCCACTTTCGAAACTAGAAATCGACCACATTTTCGGCCAGCTTTACAATTTGTTCTTCGAAAGTGAAATTTGTCTTTCTTTAAGCAAAGGAGATGAAATGAAAGTATCAAAAACCAAACCGCTAAAATCACATTCGAGCATAAGCGAATTGTATGACTTTTTCCAAAAAAAAAATCTCAACGACCTATTTAAGTGTAATCACCACCCACTACATTTATTAACACTTAAGAACAAAAATTAGCCTTGAGAGAATATCAGCCTCCAAAAATAGCAATCACTTCTGATACTACAAAACTCAAATTTTTTAACCCCGCCAAAGAGTCACTTTTCTCGCCATGGCGTTTTTTGTTTCGTTAACATTTTCCCGCATATATTTTGTTCAATATCGAGAAGCAATAAAATTAACTTGAATAAACCGCGTAGTAAGATATGCTGCGCATTATAGCGGCGAAATTGCGTCTCGCAAACACCTCCAGAGTTGGACTCTACCAAAAGTTTTTTTCTGAGAAAAATTAGGGTGGTATCCACTTATGCAGGAAAGCTTCTCACATTCCAGTTCTACAAAGGAGCTTCAAAAAACGGTCAGCAAAACCAAAACTGACGTTCATGAGTGTAATAACTCTTAAGAGCAAAAACTTAGGGCGTAACCGCTTGTGCAGGGGATCATCATATTGTTGTGCTTTTGATTGAACCAAAATTCCTGCCACACAATAATTCGAGGGCTGTAGAACGTGGGGTAAGGTAGAAAAAGACTAGAAAATTATGCGGGAGTAAGCGGGTTTCTTATTGGAACCACTTTTCGGAAGTCTGTACGGTAGTTTTTGAAACAGAGGCGAAGCGGGGCTTCGCATCACTTGCGATACAGTGCAATCATAAAAAACGCAAGTCAAAAAAATTGAAAAATGTTGAAAAAACTAAGTGAACCACAATTTTCGTCTCGGTGAAGAACACCTAGAGCCCAGCTAAAGCTGAAGGGATGTAATTGACATTTTTGGAATTTGTTATACCGACGCGGGACGAAATGCGTTATTACACACCCAGTGGTTAAATTTGAATTTCCATGAAATTGAGCATGTCAGCTGAATAGCAGCATCATAAGCAGTTAGTAAACCCGAAAAAGAGTATACATTCCATTCCGATTTGATAACGCTTGCTAATCGCAAACGTAAGAAACACTAATAATTTTGAGAAAACGAAAAACAAATCCCATGCGTTTTCACAATACCAAGTTTTATGGAAAAACTGTTTGAAAAGCGTGCCAGATAATATAACACAGAAGCAAAGCTCCGCTTCGCAAACACTAGCAAGAACACGACAAAAAGCAGCTCTAAAAAGTGCAATAAAAACGTAGATATCAGCCTCGAACAAGTAAAAACTCAGCTACATATCGGACTAGATCTGCGATCTGGAGCTAATGAGCCTCGCGCACTAACCATTCAGCAACTAACGCTTAATAAATCACAAAAACTAGCCATAACTAAAGCAGAGAGCAGATGCTATGAAATTTCCATTGCTACAGATCGTGATTAAGCCACCAAAGAAGTGAAAACTTTTTTTATTTACGAGTTAGGTTAGAGAAAAAAGAGGGTTCGAACTAAAAAAACACGCTGATCCCTAGTGTAATTTTCATTTGAAAAAAAAACGGAAAACAGCCGACAGAAATTAGGACAAGAACCACAAATCTGAAAAAAAAACAATCAATATCATTACTACCTCAAATGAACGAAGTATGTCAGCAGAAATTTGTAAGAAAAGTTGTTTAGTGAAAAAGTGTATTTCCCAATTACAAGTCACTTGCTCTCGCAACGAAAACAAAAACGTATAAGGGCAATACAATATGAAACAAGCATCTGAAAAAAATTTACCAGGCAGGAACAAAGCCGAAAACGCCGTAACATAAAATTAATTGATAATTTCTAAGTCAAAACGCCCTCAAAACACACACAAACTTTTTCGCTCATCAAACGACGCAATATGAGGCCACTAAGCTGATTTAACTCATGCCGAACTCAATTGAGTCGGGAAAAAGGAAATACAAAACAAAAAATGAAATTTTAACAAATTGAGTTGATGAAATCACAACCAACATCAAAAGCAAATTTCGAAAAAAAGTTCGTAGTAATACACTACGCTCGCAAGCGTAAACAGGATAGATATTTAAGATACTAAGAAGCACAAAAAATGTAAGTTGCAGTGAATTTTTTGCTAACAGGGCCTCAATTTCTTGCTGACCAGGAAATGACTCCAGTGAACGGTGATTTAAGGGGAAAAAGTCAAGTTCCCGATTCAAATAAAGTGCTATCACAAGTGTAAGAAGCGTTCGCTTGAAAAACTAACGCATAAGCTCCGCACAAAACTTGTACGACGGGCGACGGAAAAAATGGACTGATTTTACAATAAGCTCGCTGGTGTTAAAATCGGTGGATAAAGGATTTATTAAGAAATAAAGCAAAACTTGATGGCGATGAACAAAAACCGAGAACAAAAGAGGCAAATTCAAAACAGAGTAGTGACAACTTTGCATTGAACACGTAAAAAAAGTTCGATTTTTAACCTTGTGGGTGAGCTATGAATACGCCCAGCGGCTGAGTAGGATGAAGAAGAATAGGGCAGCAGTCTATTCTGATCAGTAGAATCTATAGCCTCATTAGACGACTCAACCACATTCTCTCTGCTGTGTCCCCCCTCCCCCTCATCATTGTCCCCACTGTTGTCATCTCCCTCGCCACTGGAGTCGAGGTCGTCGTCGTGGACCACTTCGTCCTCGTCCGACTCCTCCTCGTCCTCTTCTTCCTCTTCGCTTGACTCGTCTATGTTTACTCCATCGTGTGGGCTGATGAGCTGAAGGAAAAACTAATTATTTTCTTAATAACCGTTACATGAATTTATGAGTTTTTTTAGTTGACATTTCGATCGAGTTTTGAGTACCTGATAAACCCTACTAGCAAACACGTCTTTATTTATCAATCGGCTCGCAGAAAGCAATAAACCTTTGCAATATTTCAAACGATTTTTAGCTTCAACCAGGGTACAAGTATGATATTTGGGTCCTAGGAAAAAGCAAGTACGAAAGATGGGTCTCGAAAATTTCAAAAAAAGTAAAAGAATACGAACCAAGTTTTCGAAGTTTTTAAGACCTAAAAAACTCAGTGATCCATCTAAAACTAAGGGACCCAAATATGAAACTTGTACCTAAACCGGTTCGATAAATTTTTCTAAGCAAGCTAATGAAGCGATGAAACATTTAATTTTAAAGCTATTTCACACCGTGAATTGAATCGAAAAAGTCGCGCATTTCTCAGCAAGCCATTGGAACTATTTTACTTTTGAATTCGAGCCATTCAAGCTATGATTTAAAAATTTAACATTATTCTATATGGCGAATCGATGTGCAAAATTTCATTAAACAATTTGCGTTGCCTTCTAAAGATAGACCCTGAGAGCACTTCCTTATCAGATTGGAAATTTCAAACTTAATGCAGTTTTTTGAACCCGTTTTGTGAAAAGTTCAATTCTTGACAAATATTTTAAACCGTCAAAAGATGAACGGTTTTGAGCAGCCATATTTGAACGTTTGCAACATCTGATAGAAACCTGACAGCAACCCACAATAGGGTTTGGGAATGTGAAGATTTATTAATAATTTGCCATCTACAATTTTTGTATCAACTTTTGATTAGTTTTTGAAGTCTAAGTTTAATGAAAGAATCACAAAAATTATCACATCTCGTAAGCTTAGGGTCTTTGGTTATTCATATTCCGAGGACATTTTTACAACCCGTACAAGAATCTGACAGCGCCCCACCATAGGATTGCTAATTTAAAATTTTATGAGGTTTTGAAATCTAGTTTTTTGAAAATTTATGAAATTTATTAAAATGACAAATCTCGTTAATTAAATGGATTTGTTTATTCCTATTTGAAGGCCAATTTCGCAACCTCTGTTAAGAACCTGGCAGCACCTCGCCATAGGCTCGCTAACTTGAAGTTTTTCAATTTAATTTTTTGTAAATTTTTCAAATCAAAACAAAAGCCTTATCTCGGAAGCAAAGAAGATTTGAGCAGACACATTTGGAGGTCAAGGTCAGATTTGCAACCATTAAAAATACCCTGACAGCGCCTTGCTAATTCAAAACTTGTGTGGAATTTTTTGAAAGTTTTTTAAAGCTGAAATGATTCGAGCAGTCAGATCTCGGAAGCTGAGACTATTCGAGCAGTCGTATTTGGAGGCCAATTTTACAACCCTTGGGAGAACCCTGACAACATCCCACCAGAGAATTATTGGTTTCAAAACTTGCGAAGATTTTTAAATCTAAATTTGTAAAAAGATATGACAATAGAACTCTTTGACTTTCAAGAATTTTTTTACGATTGGCACTTTATATTTAAACTCATCCCATTTCGAGATACCTGGATCAGTAAAAAATTTTTATTCAGAAAATTGAAACCCATTCAAACAAAAAGAAAGGTTTCACTTTTTTCGTGACCTTCACCTTCTTGCTGTGCAAATGAGAAGTTTGCTTCATTTTTACCAAAATAAATAAACTGAACATAAATCGAAGTCAAAAGTTCAGCAGCCTAAAACCAAAAACCGAATTTGTACACGAACAGACTTGAACAGAATTTTAAGACTTTTCGTGAAAAAAAAATCTGAAAAACTATCATTTCCTATTTTAGTTTTACATAATAGTTTCGTTTTTTAGATTCATTTAAGATCAAAATTTAATCGAACAACAAAAACTCTGGTGAAAAAATTAGAAATTTCTCAACTTAGTTATTCAATTTTATTCAAGGCGTGAACAATGCCAATTCCAAAATTCCTTTTTACGGTGAAAAAAATTAACACAGCCAAAAATTATGATTCAAAAATTCCGAACTTTTTCCAGCTGCCGATTTCAGAAAAAAATATCACGTTCATTTCGAATCTCTTTCAAACTGTTTATGATCGATTCTTATCTGAAAAATTATCCCATTTAAAGCAAACTGGATCAATATGTACTTTTTAATTCGAAACATTGAAGCCTATTTTCAAAACTAGAAGTCATTCACATTTTTCAAGACTTTTTCACTTTCGCTGCTTGATAAATGAATTGACTCATTTTAAAAAAGGAAAAGAATTGAACTTAATAGAAGTTCAGAGTCAAACCACGAAAAATTAAATTGAAGCTCAAACAATTTCCTGAAAAAAAAATCATCAAGACTTTTTTACTTTTAAAAAGACAAAAAGCAGTTTCACTTTCTTTTGGATTACATGGCCAATTGAGAAATTTTCACTATTCGGTGACTTTTTTTAAAAAGTTGTAAAATCAACAAAGTCAACAAAAGGGATGAGATGCATGCTGACAACTGTCAAAGATCTTGGTAATTTGACACCAATAGCTTGCACTATGATTAAGCAGAAGTATTTATCGTGATTAAACAGACGTTAGCATAGCAGACGTGCAAATTATCTTTAAAATTGTTGTCTTTAGCAAAAACTTTGAAGAATATTTTGGTCTTTTAGCGTGTCAACTTAGGTACTTCTCTAAGGTGGAATCCCTGATAGACAAAGGACCGAATAGGCAAAAATAAAAATCAGCCAATCAGATTTCAGTATTCAAACATTTGGAAAGAAAGCATGAAAATCTCAAAAGAAAGTAAACATTTCCAAGGACTTGATATTATTATTGGCCGAACATAAAACGGCAGAAAAATGTTTAAAAAAAACTTTCAAATTGTCACTGACCGCCGGCGAACTGGAACAACGGTAATATTTCTCAAGTGCATTGTTATAAAAAAAGCAAATATTGCTTCATTTAATTCCTTTTAATTGAACGGAAATTGGTTCATTTTAACAATTGACTTTCGACTGTTTTTGTTTTGGTCCTTCGCCCATGCGAATAGCCCCCTTCTTAAACATATGTCTCGTGAAACGGCAGTTCATGTTGCTGGATCTCGAAATGGACCTGGACATATATTTACATAGAGGCGAAGCTGAGCTTCGCAATAAATAGCAAGAAAACGACAAGAAATGAGCTCTATAAAGTGAAAAGAAAAGGTAAAAATAAGCCACGAAAATCAACTTCTGCAGCGGCGGATTCAATCTTACTGCCAAGAGATTAAGAGTCCTCTGTCCTCGCATCTGATCCACTGGCCCTTGCCAATTTACTAACGCTAGCCACAAATAAAGCAGCTACATACGCTTACAAATTGCCAAGGTGATGCAACAAAAGTGGCACCGAATACAAATAGACTTTACTTTGCATACATAATAGACAGACACTTTGCATGTATTAATTTGGAATTTAAACTGAAGTGTTACCTAGCAGTATTTAGACATTCTCGTATTCAGACTCGTCAGTAAGCAGACAAATACTGTATTAGCCTACCAGAATCGAGACAAAGAAGAAATTAATAATTATTTACTTCGAAAATTTGCTCTCCCATCTCCAATCTGATTGGCTAATACAGTAATTGTCGGCTTACCGACGAGTCTGATACGCGGTTGACTAAATACAGACCGCACTCCAAACTGAAGGCATCCTTGCTAACTTTGCATGTAATAAAAATGAAAAAATGGAAAGCATCAAGCCAAATTACGCATTAAATTATTAACTTCAAAAAAGCTGAAGCTCGCAATAAGTAAATACAGCTTTTCGACATGCGGATGATAGTCAAAGCGAATACCGATTATCGTTACAACACTTGTCTGGGTGTAACACCACTAAGTAACACCACTATAATAGAAGTGAACTCTAGGTCAACTGAGACAAGCTGCAAGTTTGACCCACCTGAACGCGTCCACCTGTCTTCGGGTGATTTGTCGAAGTCAGAGTCTGGTCGATCTCTTCCATGTCACTTGCATTATTTCCACTCTCTGCGAATAGCTGTTTGCCGACTGATTGTGAACTGCATTTGGGGGTCTGAGCGTCCATGTACGGTGGCATCGAAGACTCTGACGGACGCAGTCCAAAAGGAAATGGGATGTCGTCCTCCTGAAAATAACAGCACATATATATCGGCTATGATAATATTGATTTCCGATGTTTGTGAACTTTTTTGATGTTTGTTCGTATATTTTCAGCTGGTTAAAACAGAAAACAAAAACATGAAATTTACATCAGCCGAGCATGATTCCATTAATTTTCACAAAAATGAAAGCTCATCGTGCGTTTTGCTTTCAAGAGATGCTTGGGGAAAAATACGAATAAAAAGACTTACGAATTCGGAGTTATCCAGAAAGTCAAAATCAGCGAACACATCCAACGATACCGTATCTCCATCTCGTCCAGAAGGCGTGCCCAGATCCATGCCTGTAATATTATGCATGTCATCTATTGAACCATGTCCTGTGGTTCCTGCAGCTGGAGTACTTTCGCCATTACCCATTCCCATTGAACTCGGCGGATGTGACTGAATCTGATTCTCGTACGCTGCGCTTCCGGCTCCAATGTTCGAGTTAGCCGAAACAACTGTCTGGAAATCTACATCAGTTGTTGAACTAAACACAACTGAGGGCGTCCTTGCCAACGTCGCGGGCGTTCGACCGAATGAACGAATGACGCCTGCCAGTTTATCGCGTACACGTTTCTGCGAGTTAAATGGTCGTCTCCAATTAGAGTTCTGAGATTCATTAATCGATGCATTTCCAACCGATACTTGACGACCAAGAACAACAGACGGACTCCTGCTTACTACTGTACTTTGAACAGCAGCCGTGTTGCTCAAGTCAGCATGTAGTTTATTGCCATTACTAGCAGCTTCCTGGCACAGTTGAACAGACGTCATGGACCTTAAATTTGGTTTCGGATTTCCATCAGCGTCAACACTGAACGAGTTATTTATCGCATCCGAACTTGACTTCCTCCTCGAAGGCGTCGCAAGCTGCGACGCGGATTCGGAATCTGCACTTTTGTTCGAATTAGCCGTGGAAGTCACTGGAACACTTTTCGTTAGTGACGCCAATGTTTGTGCAACACTAGCACAGCCTCCTATAGGAGGAACGGGGAAGTTATATGAAAAAGACAGAGTACGTCCCGGAATCTGTCGGCGATAAATGACCGCCTCTTCGATTGCAGATGTAATCTGCTCTACACGCCTCTGACTAGAACTCGGCGAGCAAAGTGTTGAGCTTCGGGTTACAATTAACTTCAGAGCTGTAAGCGCACTTTTCCACTCCGGATTATTTTGCAGCATAAACCTGTGCAGCAAAGTATGCACTGTCGTCGTGTTGAATCTCTCTTTCGGCAACTTCTGCAAGTCGATGATCTGGATGAAACTGCAAATCATATGGAGCAGACAATTCTGGTATGACGTTGGACCACGTTCCAGCAATTCGCTCAGATAGCTGATTAGTGAAACTAGTCTATGGTATACAGCCTCGCCTAGATACTGACACACAGCTCCAAGCCATGAGACACTGTCTTTAACATCGGTCTGGCGACTGTACATTCGCATAACAGTCGCCAAATTGTTCCAGGCGGCGGCTATAGCGTTGACTGTTCCAGTGGCTGCACTTGTGACTGAAATTGTATCTTCGTCTATGTGAGAAGTAGATGCAGAGACAGACAACACTGATGTCGAAGTTGTGGGTCGACTTGGAGCCGTGGCGTTGACGTTGTCTGACATTTTATTACACTCCTAAAATTTGGAATCCATGAGCAAAACATTCGAAAACTCTACATTTTCATTACAACATTTCATTACATGATATTAAATAGAAAAAAAGAAGTCTTTTTTTGAAAAATTAAGCTGACAAAAAGTACTTGGAAAAACTATATCTCATATGAGGCTCATAAACAGCCTTAGGGAATCAATGACTGAGCGGCAAATAAGGCAAGCTAAAAAAGTCAAAAATTTTACGACTCATTCCTGAAACAGGCTAAAGCATTTTTAAAAAACCGCCCGTGAAACTACGCAACTTATGTTGACTAAGACAATAAAACAGGAACCGAACCCGTTAAACCGACAAAAAACAACAAATAAATCTATTGAAAATCTAAGTAGGTAAATTTACTAACTACATAACAACTTTCAATTATAGTAAAAACAGTTTGAATCAAAAACAAAATTAACCTTAGCTTTGGATAGAAACTGCTTGAAAAGCGTACGAATTAATATGAATTGTGTTTGGTAAAAACGGAAAACCAGTCGACAAAAATTTGAAAATTACTTTCTACTTCAAACGAACAAACAGGTAGTTTTATTTGAACGTTCAAGAAATTGAGCATGACTGAGCAAAAGCGGAAAAAGTGAGAAAGAAACTGAGCAGCAGAATTTGTAAGAAAAGTTGTTAACGGGTAAAAAGTCTGGCTCCCGATTACAATTCACTTGTTCTCGCACGTAAAAAAAACTAATGCAATCTGTTTTACACTTCAGAAATAGCCACAAAATCAAAAAATGGTCTGAAAAAGCTGCGTGAAATAAAAATTTTAATCAAGAAAAACGTCCACGCGTACAGTGATGCTTTGAAGAGATAGTCGAGATTGATCCGTCACTTCATTTTACACCTGCGTTTCATTTTAAACCTACGTTTCATTTTAAACCTAGAATTGTCACTTGATGAATCTTACCGAGGCGATTGAGTCTGCGCACTCCAGATGCATTTCTGATGGCTCATCGTAGGACTCAAACAACATCGGCAGCAAAGACAGGATATTCACCACGAGGCCTAAAACAGATTATTGTAAGCAACTATTTCACTTGTTCACACTTCCAAAATATAACATTTCAGTTATGTAGGGCTTCAGTCAACGAACGCTCCAAATACTGAGTTTGAGAGAATGCACGGAAAAAAACTTTGAATTCTTTTCCTCAATTTTCCTTAAACTTCTTTACTGTAACTATGGCGGTCAAAACCTTGTCCTGATTCTGTACAGCAACTGGCTATAACTGCTCATAATTGAGACCCTCTTTAACAAAAAGGAGTCAATGCAAAAAGCCTCTCCCAGTTCGATTGCAAATTGTTCTTACAATATCCCGGGTTGACGTCCATAGAAGAAAAATGCTTTTCATACAAAATTTAAAAAGTGTTTTTATAAATTTTTGATAAACATTTTTGGTCTATTTACCTCTCTTTTGAAGTTTTCTGGTCATTAAAAAAATGATTAAAAATTTTCAATAAAAAATGCTTACCACAAATTTCAGAATGGAAAAAATGCTTATCATGCTATTTTCATACAATTTTGGGGATAAAAATACTGATGAAAAAGCTCATAATTTCATTCCAGAAAATGGAAAAAATGCTTGTTATAAAATTTCATTGTATGGAAAAAAGCGTATTTTGCTATTTTCATACACTTACTTTTGCTCTATGAAATTGTATGAAAGAGTATGATAAGCATTTTTTTCATATAAGAAAATTGTATGATAAGCATTTTTTGTCAACCCGGGAATTCAATAAAACAAGAAAAACCTTACAACAGCGGGAATCAAATCAACTATCTGCTGCTTCAGAGGTTAACATTAACTAAACAGTCCGCAATACCACTCTGTCACGGCGACCATATGCATTTTACTTTCGCACATACCAAATCTGACTGATCTTGTTGATTGTGTAATCTACAGTGATGTCCAACGTAACCATTTTTTTAACAATTGGTTTAACCAATTGGTATAACAAATTGGTTTGTTATACTGATTTAACCAATAATATTGGCTCATATATTATCTTTTCAGGAGTGTATTTAGAATCTAAGCAAGGCCAAGGAATCATTTTTTCCACGCCACTCCAAACCTTTACTCACGCATGCCCCATCAATCAATCATTAGCAATTTGGGCAACTTAATTGATAATGTCTGACTAAATTTGCGTGCCGAATACTTTCAAAACTTGCATCATTTTCACAAAAAATCTCAAAATCAAAAAATCTCAAAATCGCTTTATTTTATTACATTTAATTTTTTTCATGTTATTACCGCTCCATAGAGCTTGAAAAGCTATCGGAACATTCAAGGCTTCGCCCTGATACGAGCAGTCTTGTTTGTTTTATCACTGTTTAAAAGCAAAATTGGTTAAACCGATTTGGTTTTTAAAATTTTCATTGGCTAATGGTTAAAACATTGGTTTAACTTTGAACTGCAAATCACTGAATCTATACAATTGCTAGACCCTCCCGAGTGTGTGCAATCGTTAGTTACACTACTTCTTTTAATCGGCTGAATCGGATTTCTTTTAATCGGATGTCAATAAATTCTTGCATACAGATACATTTACGTCACACAAGAAATGGTGAAAAAATTATTGAATTTTGAGTTTTTCATTTTTCTATTACATGGTGTTTCTGTGATTTTGTCTTTTTAATTAAATATTTTTTGAACTACTTATTGATAACCAATTTAACTGTGTATTGCGTTCAACCATTCGGAATTCTTGCGTGAGAAATTTCCAAATATCACCACTTTTCTTACAGCTTGTTGATAGCTGATTAGCGAGTCATGGACCCAAGCGAAGTTTTCATAGGAGACAAAAGACGGAGAAAAAGAAATTTTCTGCAGGGTATTCTCATGAACTTATGGTCCTAGCCCTTGAAACCTGAATGAACTAATCAACTGTGTTGATATCGTATCACATTCCATGACAGTTCAAGATGGACTCAGAAAGGCATTGAAGTTTTAAAAAGACAAATCGACCAAAACCCTTTAGTTCGAGTAAAATGAAATTCGGAAACTACTTTTAAAAGACAGTACTGTTCCAAAAATGAGTTATTTTGAGTGCTTTTGAATTCAACTTCTTACACCAAAGACTAAAAAGTATCTTCTTACACTAAAGACTAAAAAAGGAAATAGACAAAAGCACTGACCTGTTTTGCGAAAAAAAACTTCACACTTCGAAACTTTCCAGAAAAAGACTTATGGCCTTAAAGCTCTATGATCTTCATGACCAATTAATGGTCGAATATTTTTTTGTCAGTAAACACAATTTGAGAACACTGGATCAGTCGGCAAAACTTTTAATTCGCTTGGAAATCTGATTACTAAATTCCACTAAGTCCATCAAGTTTTTCGTGACCTCTCTACTTTTACTGTTCGATAGTGAAGTTTGCCTTCCTTTTAACAAAACAAAAGAATTGAACTTAAAAATAAATCAACAGACAAACCCCGAAAAATCAAAGTTGGGCTTGAACAACTTATAACACTTTTTCCCGAAAAAAAAAAACAAAAAAGCAGCAAGACCTATATAAGAGTATTCAATACGTTCATGACTCTTAATAAAAAGTATGCACTGAACTAATTTAAAAAATCGAAAGGTTAAGATGCGGCTTTCAATAAAAAATCTTTAGGAATGCTCACAAAAAGAAGTCTTTAAGGATGCTAAGAAACGAACACATATAACTTACTCGAGAAAATTTGAGTCAGCTCTTATTCCTGCTACTTAATCATAAACCACCAAAATTGATACCTTTATGCAGCACAACAATTACCTTTTATAGCCAATAGGCAACCGCAAAAGGTCATTAAACTCAAATACGCCAAAAAAAAGACTGGTTAACTTAGGAGAAACTTTCCAGATACGAGTTGCTTAGAAAAAATATAACACCTTAAAACTCTTTGATTCTATAAGTGTTTAAAAATTTAGACTTTTTTGACGAAGATTCTCCAATTTGAGCACAGAAGCGAAGTTGCATTTTTCAAACACAAGCGAGAAAATGTCCTGAAATAGCTCCAAAAAGTAAAAATAGGAAAGAAAAAATAATAATAATCCTAAAAATAGTTTTGCTGTGCCAGACTCGAACCACCATCCTGAAGCTGACGAATCTGAGGTTCTCTCATCTGTAGCATAATCGCTTCACAAAAATGCAACCAAATTAAAATTTACAAAATTGGGGAAAAAGCCAAAAAAAATTACATCTTCGAACGTTCGTATCGAATGATTTTTAATTAAGGAAAACATACCGAGAAACGTAATCGCAAGCGATTAAAAGCAATCAAAAAAAATTGAAAGATCAGCAAATGAGTAGACAATATTTGAGCAGACGCTTGTTGAACAGAAAACGAAATTACAGTCGTAAATAATTTTGAGCTATAAATTTTTGAAACTCTTCCTCTCGGTAATTACAAAAGTTTTAAGTCTTATTCTTTAAATAATGAAATATTAGATCACAAAGCCGATATTGAAAAAATCGAAACTACTTAGGTCGAAATTTTTTTTTAAAGGACACAGAAAAAAGAATATAGCCAAAAACATTTGGAAAAGAGTAATGAACGCAAAAAAAACAGAATTTCAAAGAATTATAATTTGTGGCCTTAAGGCTCTTTGAATTTAAAGAACAATTTATGATTGACACTTTTTTGACAAACAAACCCAAATTGAGAAAACTAGATCACAAGCTAAATTTTTCATTCCACTGGGAAACCTTCAAATTGAAAACCACTTTCAAAACTAGAAGTCGATTCAGTTTCTTGTGATCTTAGCACTTTTGCTGTTCGATAGCGGAATTTTCCTTTCATTTAACAAAGGAACAGAACTAACTTCTGCGAAAAATAAAAGAGCGTGATTAAATTTTATGACATTCTCCTGAAAACAATATCACCACGACCTATATAAAAATATTCACCACGTTCATGACGTTTAAAGTAAATTATACAAAATAAAGGTTCCTATTTCGGAATTTACAGGAATAAATCAAAACTGATTCTTAATTATAGCAAAAATTACACAAATCAGAAGATATTTCCGCATTATGGCAACTAAGATTTCCATCTTTTCAGACATGCAAGCGGCAGTATTAAATCGGAAAACTAATCACACCATTGCAGATTTCTTACTAAAAATCCTTGACTTCGCCAGCCTAGACGTTACCGCAAAGCCAAGTTTGCCGAAAGTTTGGTGAAATTTGACTAAGGAAAATGAAACAATTCAATGACTCTGTTAGACAAGTTGTTTGTATAGGAAAATAAGTCTGTTCCGATATGATAAGTCCAGCTTATGAAACGAAGAAGACCCCCACCCCCCAAAAAAACACGACCGAAACAAAGAAATTTCGTTCTGTAAAACTCACTTAAATGACATACCTCTTTGATTTGAATCCAAAAACGATACTTTTTGCAGACACGGTGTGAACTTGATTAGGATCTTGTTTGTCAAGGGCAGTGCAGTAGCGAGCGTCAGTCCCTTCAAAACCAGAGGCTGCAGACCCGAAAACATCGACCACTTCATCTGGTGGAATACACGGCACAACGCATTCTGGTGTCTTCCGCTGTCCAGCTTCAGACCTCCAAGCAACTGTTCCAATAATTTCAGAGCAAGTACATACTCATACTCGAAATCAGACTCCAGCATCGATATCACAGCCCAAAAAACTTGACATAAGATTGACAGCTTATCGTCAAATATTCCGTGCCCACCTCTGCGTGACAACAAAGTGTCGCCAAAGTCTCGGGGAAGGCATTGACTTCTCGCTTTCAGGTCTCGCCTTTTCATTTCCAATCTCTGATGACTATCGAGCGTCGAGCTAAAGTTGAGCGGAACTTCTGGCCGTCTCTCGGCTGTTCTTGTAAGGTCGAACGCATTGCTTCTCAACGCTTCAGCTGCCGGTCCGTTGTATGAACATGTTCGACGGTAGAACACGTCCAGCTCGGTAGGTTTTCTACTCGTTAGGACAGCGGCATGCGTTTGAGCTGGATTTTTGCGGTAGTTCAGTGCGGATCCAACGGTCGATTTAGCTGCTCGGGCGCTTAAGCTTGTATTTCGGTTAGAATGTTTAGCTTGACCAGTGCTAGTAAAAAGAGACAATGGTCGCTGAGGAATGAACTCAGGTTGATCCACAATCAGAGAAGATATTTTGACCAGTGTCTGCATGATCTCGACTACGTATCCTTGAGTTTCCTCGCCCACTTCGCCGACAGTGTCATTTAGCCGCATGAGAATTTCCGATACATCACTGGATAAAGGAGCAATTTCAAGTCCACGGTAGACCTAAACATAAACTTAGGTTAAAAAAAAACGATTATCTACAATTGTTGGCTGGCAATGAAGATACGTGGAAGACGGAAGGGTAAAATTTAACAACATAGCCAACAGGAAAGGTAAAAATTTAAAAACAAAATTCAAACCACGAAAAAATCTAATTGCATGAACAAAGTTTTAAAATTTTTCTATTATCACGACCTATATAGCCAATATGTGATTGGAACAACGCAAAAGAAAAAATTATACAAAGAATATGAGCTCTTTGAATTTCAAGAATTAGTTATGATTAGGCCTTTCTCCTAAAAATATCCCATTTAGTGAAAACTGGATCAATATGTATTTTAATTATTCCGCTGGGGATTCAGAAGATTGAAGTCATCAAAATCATTTTCGAAAGTATCAGCCAATCACGTTTTGTGACCTTTACACTTTTGCTGTTGAATAGTGGACTTTGCCCTCCTTTCAAACAAGTAAATGAAGTGCACATGAAAAGAAATCAATAGTCAAACCACGAGAAACCAAATTTGAGCCTGAACAAAGTTAAGTCGAAAAAAAAATCATCACAATCTGTATAGTCAAAATCACTTCGTTCTTCACAAGTTTTTCTAGTCAGGCTATTCCAGCTACAAGCATTTGAAAAATTTCAAGTTAATTCATGATGCGAATCGGATATTAAAAAACTTTAAAAACTTCTTCAGAAGACATTTCGTCGGCAAGAAATTCTCATTATTATGCAAACTTTTCAAGCTATGAGGCTCTGTAATAATTTAAGTTACTTCAGACCGAGTTGGTTCACGGGAAGTTACAATTACTTTCCCCCGCCCTTACCAAACCCTCCCAGTAACCAATCACAATCTATAAAAAGCCTAACTTTTCTCCAACTGAACTGTAACGGAGTATCAGGGAACGCATCCGAAATTGCTGCATAACTATGTGAATTTCAAAATCTTATCGATGTTTTTCAAGAGACAAAACTGATTAAAAAAAACCGCACTCTCTCGCTAGACCCAAATTATACTATTATCAAAAAGGACCGCCCTCGAGATGGAGGTGGAATACTTACTGCCATACACAACTCACTTATCTACGAAGACTTGAAACAATGGAAGACAGGACTTTAGAGGCGCAGTGTTTTAAAATAATGGCCAGCAATCAAAGCTTTCGCATCACAAATTTTTACATTCCCCCGCGCAGTAGCTGTCCAAAAGGTTATAAGGCTTCAATTACGCAGCTGCTCGTAGAAGACAAGGCAATCGTCATGGGAGATGCAAATGCCTACTCCCCTCACTGATACTCAAACATAGCGGAGGGTAACAGAGGCGCCTCTTTAGGTACAGAAATTACTGACTCTGACTTCACACCTTTAAATGACCACACTCAAACTCGTTTACCGTTCGGCAGCTCAAGCGCTACGTCCCCAGACCTATCCTTAGAATCATCGTCCCTCTTACTCTATAAGTTGGAAACCACTTTTAACTTTAGGGTCAGACCATCTATCTATTTTGATAAGTCTCCCTCTAACAGAGGACATACCTTTCACGGCAAAAAAAGACTTTCATAAACTTCAACAAAGCAAACTGGTACGAGTTCACTGAAGAAATTGAGAAGAAATTTTCTAAAACTGTTTTTACGAATGGCGTTACGTCGCGGAAAAATTTTTTAAAAACACAATTCTGAAGCCTGGTGCAATATTGCAAAACAAACGCTTAGCGATCCACTAATTTTTCTCCCAAGTGAAAAAGAAGAGGCAATCAAAGCAGCTAAGCCGTCAAAAGCGTTGGGTCCAGACGGGCTTTGCACGGTACACCTGAAACATCTGGACCAATTGCAATCAATTTTAACTCATACTTTTTAAGTTGTCCATGTCGTATAACAGTATACCTCAAATTTAAAAGAACTCAAAAGTAGTTCCCCTACCAAAAACCAATCAAAGACGTTAAATTATCAGACTCTTACCGCTCAGTCTCAATTTTCATCCCAGCGGTGAAAGTTTTGAATTTTTAATCCAACGTACTCTAACAAAGAATCTCCCCATAGGTAACCATCAGCACGGCTTTCGTTCAATCTACTCCACGACACTATCTGCTCCTAAATTTTTTAATTAGCAATGGTTTTAATCAGAAACGACTACCTAAAAGAACCATGCTAGCTAATATTACTGGAACTTCTTCATGGCACCACTGTTCCAGATAGTTTAACTAAATCGCTTGCAAACTATCTGAGTGGCAGGCAAGCCAAAACGCAATTTAGGGGTGCCTTGTTTTCATCAAGGGTCGTAGGTACAGGCGTCTTCAAGGTTCTGTTCTCTCGCCCACTCTTTGTAATTTTTACGTGCACGGTGCACCTAACTCCCCGCCAGAATTCAAACTTCACTCGTATGCCGATATTTTCAAACCTTCGTCCAATCATGCGACATAAAACATGTCTGATATTTTGAGTAATTATCTTAACATATTGCACGAGTTTTTTTTGAAAGCAGAACAGTCGAAATTTCCCCTACAAAGGGCTCTGTAAGTATTTTACGTCGCATGATAAAGAGTTTAACTCTGACCCTCAGGTTGCAAAACAAAACAAAGGTTGCAAAACAAAGGTTCTATGTGGGAAACAAAACTGCCGGGCATAAAGCACCCCAAAAATCTTGACTTTCTGACCCTTCACTAAGTTTTGCCGAACATTGCAAACGCACAGCAAGCGAAGCCATACGCAGGATGTCGGTCCTGAAGGCGCCGTTTGATTCAAACTGAGGTCAGTCGAAAGAGACTTTAAATATTACCTACAAAAGTTTAATCAGACCAACTCTGGACTACGCCTCTCTAGCGTGGTCTCATGATGAGAGTGGTACATCTATGCGTAGAATGCAAATACACCCCGCCAGCAACGCGTGAACACCTTAAACTCTTTTAAAGAACTTGAACGAAATTTACTGGGAGCAAACGAAGGTGACTATTTTACTGACTTTAACCACCTTAAAGCGTTCATAAACAGCAATATCAAAACCCTTGTTAAGAAAATAAACACAAAACGAGTGCAGAAAGCCATAGACAAAGCCCCCGCCCTAAGTTCTCTCCTTCAGACCCCAAGAAGTTCTCCCACGCTCGACTAGGCGCACCCTCGCCCGAATAAGATCAGGATACAGCACGTAGTTAATTACTTATATGAATAGGATACACCCAACTGTCCCTTCGAACTCTCCCTTCTGCCCTGCTCCCCTTCTGGAAAGCATCAAGCTACATTCAACAAAATATGCATTTCAAAAAACTGCAAGATATATTGAGTGAAAAAATATCTAAAATATTTTTTTTATGATTGTTATCTTGTTTGAAACAAATACCTTTTTTGTGATTCATTTGATGAATTTAAAATGCATCAACTGTGTTAACTTATTGCTATTCGAATGTCAAAGCGCATGCTATCAAGAAGCTGAAAAATGCCCCAAAAGTGGCACCAATATTTGCGACTTAGCTTGGAAAAAAAGAAAGTTCGTACCAAAACTCTTTGCTTCGCAAGTGTAAATACTTCAAATCATTTCATAGACCGAATCGGTTTGTGAAAATTTAAGGTTTATCTAGGCACAAAATTCAAGCTAAGAAAATATGAAGTATGGTAAGCTATATCATAGTTCGAATCGGTTCGCAAACAGTTCAAGTTTTTCTCAGCAAGCTATCGAAGCGATGAAAAAGTAAACTCAGAGGCGAAGCTGAGCGATTTAACACAAACATAAAAACATAGTAAATCGAAAGAAACTATGTTAAAAAAAACCGTAAGAAACCAAAACGTTCGTATGCTCAAAAAAGAAAACTAGGGGCCCAATAAAACTTGGAGGTAGCTGTTTGATATTTTAGAAATTGTTTTACTTCTGCTGGATGAAATGGGTACCTTCAAAAATTGAACTTTGTGCGAAAACTTAGTTGCTTCTCTACTAAAATAAGTCACGCAACATCAGCCGAAACCATTTATTCGACAAAAAACTTTAAAACGAAGTTATTCAAAATGAGACGTGGTAAAATGAAAAATTACAGAACTTTCAAATATAGTTCAAAAAATTATAAACAAAAATATAGCCAATCGAAGATTTGAAAAAAGTAATGAACGCAAAAAAAACCTTAAAAAAACTGACTTTTTGAAAAAATCTCAACTTTCGAATTTCAAAGAAAAAAATAGATGCCCTTTTAGCTATTTGAATTTCTAGGAAGATTTATACTGGCGCCTTTCTGATAACATTAACCCAACTTGATAAAACTGGATCAACAGGTGAAGTTTCTATTCCGCTTGAAATTTAAAAATAAAATTGCACTTTCAAAACTAGAAATCGTTCACTAATTTTGGCGCCATTTGCACGTTCGTATTGGGAGAGTGCTATTTCCGTCACTTTCAGCAGATCAAATTCAATTGAAGTCAGAAGGTGCATATTTAGCTAAATGCATCAATATTTTCGGATTTTTTCCTGAAAAAAAAACAAAAAAACGGCAAGACCTCTATAGAAGTCTTAACTATGTTCATTACTCATAATAAAATCCATGCTTTACAAAATAGGTTGATAAAAATACTACCAGATATAAAAAAATGATATTTCAAAAAACGGAAAATGAACCGATGGAAACTGGGTCGAAAACCACGAATCCAAAAAAATTTTTGCTACATATTTATTTGAAAAACTAATTACTGTCCCAAACGTACTCCAGCTATTAATTTAACAACCTAAAAGAGGTACTTTTATTTCAGCATGTTTTGAGAATTACCATTCCTAAATTGACCATTCTGTGACCAAAGTTATGTACTGAAAAAGTCTAGTACCCGGTTGCAATACCCTTGCTTGTCGAAAGGGTAAATAGTTGGTAGAGCGAATAGCTTCAAAAAAGTCATATTTTCTAAGCATTGAGGTTAGTGTTTTTAGTTGATTTATTTCACACTTACAATGAGTCTGTGAACACAAAAAAATTGACAAAAGTGGGCAGGTACTGTCTAGCCTTGAAGTTCGAGTTCATTTTCTTTGAAGAATTTCGGACTTTTTCAAAAAGATTTCTGGAATATTCCTGACTTTAGAATATTGGATGGTCGCTCTGAATTATTCTTAGACGTTCTGATCAAAGTCTTTTACACAGAAGCGAAGCGAGCGACAAACATTAGCGAGAACACGATAAAAAGCAGCTCTATAAAGAGCAAAAAAAAAAGAAGTAGAAATAAACCTCGAATGAGTAAAAATTCGGCTACGTCTTGAATTCGATCTGTGATCTAGAGATTAGCTGCTATGAAATTAGATGCTGGAGATCAGATGATATAAATATTCCGATGCTACAGATCGTGCTTATAGCAAAAGTGCCACCAAATGAGTGAATAATTTTAATGAACATTTTCATTTGCAAGTTAGGGTAGAAAAAAGAAGTTTCGCACTAATACAATACCGCTCGCAAGCTCGCTAGTGTCAAAAAACGTTGCGCTCAGTAACCCCTTAAACATTCGGCTTTATGCTACATTGATGTAATTCATTTAATATACAAGAAAATAAGATAATAAAACCAATACAGCTAAAAGAGCAAGTAACAGCCACCTGAAATGATCTGCTGGCGTAATGTCGTGACGATGACGACAAAGCCATTTTCAAGCTGAGAGCAGCCCACTCATTCCTGACGTCATAAGCTAACGGAACCTCCCCGTTGAAGTGGTTCTCAAACAACTGAATCAAAAGCGACACAAAGGCGCTCACTTTCTTCGCACTGGTTACAGTCTGGTTTCGTGGCGACACGTCTTCTAGCGTCCAAAGTGGCTGACTTATGTTCTGCAAAAGGTATTCGGCTAATCGCGCAGGCGGATTATCGTTTTCAGTTATTTCGGTGAAGCTGTACTCATGATGCTCAGACTCCGACCTATGCAAATGCGGAGGCGCCAAAGTGGACACAACCAAGTCAGTGCTCTTAAGCAGAAGCGTCTTTGAAGCGGCATCTGCGTCAGTTTCCAGCTGAGTCAGAACCAAATTTATCAGAGTTCTTCTGGAGTGACTCACGACTACAGGCAGCCCATGGTCCAAACCCAGAATCGAAAGATGCAAAAACTGGGTTATATGAGGTGTCCAGTCGCACCCAAAATCTGTTATCAAAAGATGGCTGCATAGTACCAAAGATGCGAAGCACCTCTGAAGTGCGTAGACTCCACTGGCGTAGTTACTGTTGCTATTAGCATTGACATCCACTGTGTTTTGCCCGGATGGAACTTGTGCGGACGAGGAGTTCAGAATGAGTTTTGCCAGAGGACAGACGAATAAATCCACTGGCATCGGGAGGGATTTGGCCTGTCGTTCGTTGCATCGGTTGAAGCTCACTTTCCACGCGAGGAGCCAGTGGTTGCGCTCAGACACTAAAATATAGTGTTATTATACCTCTAAGCTTTGTTGCATATACTGTAATGCAACTCTGGCCCAGGGGCGGATTTGGGGAAGGGGGATGGGCGGACGATTCCTCTCTTAGGGACTCGACCCCTAGAGAAACCAAGCAATTACGACCTTTCAGACAATTTTTGGCTGAGCGACCCTAAAATTTTTCTAAAAGTGCCAATAAATACTTATTTTGAGGTATTATACAAATGAGGTACTTCTAACTCATTGGCAAAAAGGCAAGCAAGTTACGCTCTCCAATCGCAAGAGTGCTAATAGTGCAAAGAAAAATGTGACTGAATTTAAGTTTCCTCTCTTCCCTCAAAATTTGACCCCCTGACCACCCGAAGGGTCCCATCTTTGGTGCTGATTTAAAACATCAGTTTTTTGACTGAGCTACTCTAAAATGTTTTTAGGGGCATCAATATATTCTAATTTTGAGGGGCGAAGGAGGGGATATCGGCTTCGATCAGTTATGTGTGACTTTTAAGTAATCTTGTTTGTGCCTGTGGGGAGTCAGCTTAGACCATTAGAAATGGCTTCCACTGAATACAGTTATTTTGCAAGATAAAAAACAAAATCGCAAAAGTTCTCTACTAACTAAATTTTTCAAAAATTCCTTATTAACTAAAATTTATTGTAACTAAACACGTTCACCAATTTTTTGAATTGGTACCTGGGAAAACTTGGTGCCTGTGAAAATTTTGGAAATTGGTGGCTGGGGAAATCTGGTGCCTGGGAAGAGCTGAAAATTTGAACAGAGCTGATTGAAGCTTCAAAAACTGATTTTACAGCCTAAGAAACTGTTTCTTACAATTTAATTAATAGCTTTTCGCTGAAAATTTTAGAAACCGAAGGAATCACGGCTGAAAGGGATTCGAATACCCTTTATAGCTCAAACCCAATTACCGTTTACTTATGCTGTCGGATTTTGCGTGAAACAAAGGTTATGCACAAAGGCGAAGCAGACCTTCGTACCACTTATGATACAATATAATCATGAAAAAAAAATAAGTTGAAAAAAATGAAAAAATTAGGTGAACCAAAAACTTCGTATGTCTCGGAGCCCGACACCTAGAGCCCGACGAAAGCTGGAGGTAAGTGTTTGACATTTCTGAATTTGTTATCTTGATGCAGGACGAAATGTGTGATTTCAAAAAATATACTTTGCCCAAAACCTTAGTTGTTTCGTTACTAAAACAAGTAGGAGTGAAAAATTTTGAGATTTTGGAACTTCCATAAAAAATAATATTTCTCTAGCAAAAATATAAGGAGTAGCCGCTACTGCAGGAAAAATTCGCATAAAGGCTTCTTTTAATTGAATTTTTCATCTCAGATTTGATAGGGTAGTTTTTAAGAAAACTCAAAACGTTTGTAAAAAACGGTCAAAGTTCAAAAACTTGGCTTTCCGAAATCCGTAACTTTTTTCTCCTAAAAGCAGGTAATGATCGGTAAAGTAGAGAAGATTCCCAAAACCGTGTTTCTCGAATAAACACTTAATATGAGAAGTAACACGGTAATTATCGAGTAGTGTCAAAAAACTTCCAAAAAACGGTCGAAGTTTCAAAAATTTCACTTCTTGAAGGCCATAGTTTTTTTAGAAACGGGGCTCTGAAAACTATAAAGGTAAGCTTGCAAAAACCTTTTGTGTCGATTAAACCTATAGTATCAGATTTGGCAGCATAGTTATCGAGAAAAATCCAAAAAAAAAACGGTCAACAAATCAGAAAGTTGACATTTCCGAAAATAACTCCTTTTTCTAAAAGTATGGTCTTTTGTCCATATTTTTCAATTGGCCTTTGTCCATATTTTTCAATTGGCTTTTGTATCAATCGGATTGACAATTTTTTAAAAATCGATAGAGCATTTTGGTGAAACTAATGTTTTTCAGAAAAGCAAAAATTGTTGCCAAATCGGTCCAAAAAAATACAATACAAAAAATCCGATCCCATACAATTTCATAATATCTGTTTTTATCAAACAGGAAATTTAAGGCAAACAAGCCAAGCAAAAAATTTTTTATTCAAATTAGCAACAAAACAAAATTTACGAAGCGGAAACAAGGCCAACAATCTTTGAGCAGACACCAGTTGAGCCGAAAAAAAACTGATTTCGCAAAAAAACTTCAAAAAGTTTCAAGTCCCTCTAAAACTACCCTGTAGTGAATAGTACTCACCTGCAAATGATTCAACTGTATGTCGGCTGTGATTCAACTGTATGTCAGCTGCAAGTGATTCAACTGATTTTGTTGAACTTGTTATTAACCCGAAAAAAGTCTATATTCCGATTTGATAATGCTTGAAAAATAAAATCCAGAAAATTTTATGATTGACGGTTTGTTGCTTAAATTAACACAATTTGAATAAACTGGATCAATACGTCCACTTTTTAAACTACAACATTCACGCAGCTTTTAAAATTTTGTTACTGGAGAACGGAATTTACTCTTTCAAGTGAAATAAATTGAATTTGTACACAGAGGCGCGAAGCTGACCTTCGCACCACTTGCGAGACAACTATAAATGACTACATGAAAGTCAAGTGGAAAAACTCACAAAATCGTTTTTGTCAAAAAAAAACTGCAACAAAAGTCCAAAACGTCCGCCTTTCTGCGGAACAAATCAGACAAAATTTAGCAGACAGACAATGATCTCAATTAGCCAACATTTTCTATTTACAAGAAAAACAGGTCTCAACTGGAATCGAAATCCTGGCCTTTGTCGTTTCAAGCGTTGGGATTACAGCAACTTGGAACAAAGCTAAAGCAATGAGATACGGAAACATCCGACAAAAAAACCGACGGAAGATAGTCCGAAAAAGCACCAAAACTAAGTTTGCAAAAAAGGCCGGCCGGATTCGAACCACAAATCTTTGCCATCTCAAGCAGTTGTTTCGGATCTCGGTCAGAGGTTTGAAGCGGTAACAAAGCCGAAAAACTTTAGCAAAAACCCTTCATGCCGAAAAAAAATCAAAAAAATTTTTAACTTATAAAAAGTTAAGTCCCTTTTCGCCTCAGAGCACACACACACACACATAAGCACAAAAAAATTTTTTCGGACGTAACGACGCAATCAGAGGCCACTAAGTCAATATTAATTCAGCCGAAACTTATAAAGCCGATAAAAAAGACCAAAAAAAGGGGAAATTTTCACAAATCGAGCTGGTAAAATTACAACCAAGGTAAAAGCAAATTTTGATTCGGCCGGATTTTTAAAATGCTGAGAACAACTACAGCAGTGAAAACTGTTTACAACTAAAATAAACGATTGTTAGATAAGGCAACTAAGCCGGCAAAACATAAGCAGACAAATGATAGACAGAAATTTTTTTGAACCGGAACATTTACCGTTTGAAGAAACTCATCCTGGTCAGATTCGAACCCAAGAACTTTGCCATCCTAGGGGTATTTGTTACCATCAGTATAAGTGTGCAAGAGACACTACAAAGTTTGAATTCATTATGAACTAAGGTACCACCACGAGTCTAATGAGTCCTGTGGACAAAGTTGTTTACGGGAAAAATAAGAAGTCTAGTACGCCATTGCAATACCCTTGCTTATCGCAAGGGTAAAAACAAGTTGAAAACAAATCATAAAAAACGCCATATCTCGGAAACCAAAACAATTTGAGCAGAATTAAAAGAAATCTAAAGTCAAACCGCTAAAAAAAACAACCACGCCCTAAATTACAAATTAAAATAAAACAAAAACCACACGACATAAATAAGCGTCCTCAGTTCGTTTATTGGCACTTGGAAAACAAAAATGCTACAGTTTGGGAAACTAGATCTCACCTTGTAGGCTATCATCTGCCGACGCTACTCGAGAACTACCAGTCGGATGCCCAGTGTTACTGCTAGTAGAAGGACTCAGTTCGACATTGTGGGATTCCCCACTAGTGCCTGCAGTCATGTCTTCTCCGCTCTTGTTTACGTTCGACAGGGAAGACGAGGCAGTCATGTGAGCAACTGCTGGCACACTCACCGCTTTCTCTGGACCACTGAAACACAAACGCTAGTCTCAGTCTAAGTCACCTGAAAAATTACCTAATATTTTAGCATCTTAGTTATTTAGCATTTTTCGGAATCAGACTGTTATCGCTGAAACTAGCACAAGACTCGCACCTATGGAGGTACTAAGGTACCACCACTCATCCAATGAGTCCCGTGAACAAAGTTGTTTAGGAAAACAGTCTAGTACATGATTGCAATACCCTTGCCAATCGCAAGAGTAAAAACAACTTTGTTAGTGTTTGCTTCCTTTTCAATCCACATTTTTTGTGGAAAAAAAAACAGAAAACTTCATTTCTCGAAAACCAAACAGTAATATCCAGGGGCCATATTTACAACAACTGAGTGTACCCTGAAACCATCTAAGCTTTTAGAATTTCAATTTTTTCTAACAAACACTGAGACAAAAAGCTTTTAAAAGCTTGCATGTTTGCTTAGATTAACCAAGGTGCTTGCATCATTTCAAGTTGTATTGATTTCATTTGCTTTTTACGCTATAATAGAACGAAAAATTGAGCGGGTTAGTTATCATACCTTGGCCAAAATAACAATTTTAAAAATAAAATTATCGGGCAAAAATGATAACAGGTGAAGTATTTTTGTAATTTTCAGCTCAAAGCATCAAAATTGTTCAAATTTTTACAGAATCCGCAGTATGGCTAGTTAAACTGTCGATAATTGTCTTAAAAAAATCAACCGGATTGCAAGCATTCCAAAAACGGTTAAAAAAAAACAAAGCTAAAGAATTTTGAAATAATACAAAGTTGCTCGTATATCTTTCAAAACACTGAATGTTTTGGCTGCCCTGTAGACAGTCTTAACTATCTTAGTAGATAAAATTGGGAGAAGCGATAAATTTTGAACAGTCTGTTTTTCGTCCCCCAGCAGCGAATATAAAAAGACTAAGTGTCAAAGTTACAGCCGTCTAGCGAATTAACTTAACTTTTAACTTGTTGACTTGCATCAAGTTAGAGCAGTTATGCGATTATGAGAGCAAGATAACTTGCCAAGCATAATCTGTAAATTTTTCAGAGCTCAAAATAATCCAAGACATTGCCAAATTAACAATTTCGAAGAAAAAAAACATAGCTTACAAAAAAAGATTGCAAGTGAAAAAAATATATTTTTTCAGTTGACTTCTGGGAGTTCGAGCATAGATTTTTTCTTAGTTTCATTGGAAGTTTTTGTAATATCACCACGTAGTTTAATAATTTTGTACAAGAGATACAAAATTTTTCTGTTAATGATAATCATTTTGTTGGAATTAAAATAAATATGCAAAAAACGGTAGGTCGAAAATTTGCAGCAAGCGACAATTCGTAACAAGGCATTGGCAAGTAGAACAAGTTTGCTCCGCTGCGCTTACATCCGGAGCGAGAGGAAAAGTGCGCATAAAATGGTGTTTGCCGTTGAAATCATTGTTATGAATTGTCGTCTGTTACGAGTTGTCGCCTGTTACGAATTGTCGCCTGTTACGATTTGTCGCCTGTTGCGAATTGTCCCCTGTTAAGAATTGTCGCCTGTTACGAATTGTCGCCTGTTAGCAAAAAAAAACATTTCATAAGTAGAATAAGTTTGCTCCGCTTCGCTCCGCTGCGCTTACATCCGGAGCGAGAGGAATAGTGCGCATAAATTGGTGTTTGCCGCTGAAATCATTGTTATGAATTGTCGCCGGTTACGAGTTGTCGCCTGTTATGATTTGTCGCCTGTTACGAATTGTCCCCTGTTAAGAATTGTCGCCTGTTACGAATTGTCATTGGTTAGCAAAAAAAAAAAACATTTTCATTTGTTCCTTTTAACCATTTTTTTTCTGATTAACGCAGTTTTTCCCGTCTAGCGAATAAACTTATTTTTTAACTTGGAAAAAATGATTACAGGTGAAGTATTTTTCTGTTAATGGTATTTGCCGCTGAAATCATTGTTATGAATTGTTATGAAGTAGAATAAGTTTGCTCCGCTTCGCTCCGCTGCGCTTACATCCGGAACGAGAGGAATAGTGCGCATAAATTGGTGTTTGCCGCTGAAATCATTGTTATGAATTGTTATGAAGTAGAATAAGTTTGCTCCGCTTCGCTGCGCTTACATCCGGAGCGAGAAGAATAGTGCGCATAAATTGGTGTTTGCCGCTGAAATCATTGTTATGAATTGTCGCCTGTTACGAGTTGTCGCCTGTTACGAATTGTCGCCTGTTACGAATTGTCCCCTGTTAAGAATTGTCCCCTGTTAAGAATTGTCGCCTGTTAAGAATTGTCGCCTGTTAGCAAAAAAAAAACATTTCATAAGTAGAATAAGTTTGCTCCGCTTCGCTCCGCTGCGCTTACATCCGGAGCGAGAGGAATAGTGCGCATAAATTGGTGTTTACCGCTGAAATCATTGTTATGAATTGTTATGAAGTAGAATAAGTTTGCTCCGCTTCGCTCCGCTGCGATTACGCGCGGAGCTAGAGGAAAAGTGCGCATAAATTGGTGTTTGCCGCTGAAATTGTTATGAATTGTCGCCTGTTACGAGTTGTCGCCTGTTACGAATTGTCGCCTGGTACGATTTGTCGCCTGGTACGATTTGTCGCCTGTTACTAATTGTCCCCTGTTAAGAATTGTCGCCTGTTACGAATTGTCGCCTGTTAGCAAAAAAAAAACTTTTTCATTTGTTCCTTTTAACCATTTTTTTCCTGATTAACGCAATTTTTCCCTGTTATGAGTTTCAAGTTTAGTAGGTTGTTTTCAAATCATTTTCTTCGGAAAAACAACGTTGGGAACAAAAATAAAACACGTCATATCTCGGCTGCTGAAAAATTTTGAGCAATCATATGTGGACAAGCGCTTTTAAAGCTGGAATTTTTGAAAATGAAAAACCTTATAGTGTATCATTGGCAACCTTATAGTGTACCGTGACAGCACCGCACCGAGGAGTGGGAATTTCAAACTCCAGTATTTTCTTTCAACTGAACATTTTCACAGAGAGGCGAAGCTGAGCTTTGCACCACTTGCGATACAAATATGAATGAGTATGATTAAAAAATGAAAAAACTTCAAAAATTGTTTTTGTCAATAAAAATTGCAAAAAAGCCCAAAATATCCGGAAAAAAAATTCACAAAAAACTCTACAAAAAGCTTTGGGAACGATATAGAAGGCAAATTTTCAACGATATGCGGAACTAAGCAGACAGACAATCTAAATTAGCCAAAATTTTCAAAAAAAACTTGCAAAAAAACAGGTCTCAGCGGGAATCGAACTCCCCGGCTTTGTCGTCTACAGCAACTTGGAATAAAGCTGAATCATCGAGCTATGGGAACCGAGCCGCCAAAAATAAACAGACGGACGATAGTGTTGCAAACCAGCCATTGTCATCTGAAAGTGTTGTTTTACCTCTACTCCAGACGATTGATTGGACTTCAATCTAAAATTAGCAAGCGTTAACAAAGCCAAAAATAGATGACCAGAAACCCTTCATGCCGAAAAAAATCAAAAATTTCTAAACGTATAAAAAAGTTAAGTCCCTTTTCACTTCAGAGCACACACGCGCATGAGAACTTTTTTTGCGGTCGCAACGACGCAATAAGAGCTCACTAAGTCGATTTTAATTAAGCCGAAAAAAAGACACACTTTTTTAAAAACAAATAGAGCTGGTAAAATTACAAATAATGTGAAAAGCAAATTTCGATTCGGCCGGATTTTTTAAATGCCAAAAGCACCTGCAGTGAGAATTGTCTACAACTAAAATAAACGTTTCTTAGATGTTGCAACTAAATCGACAAAACATACACAGACAAAATAATAGGCCGATTTTTTTAAACAGGAATATTTACCGTTTGAAAAAAAAACTGGTCCTGGTCAGATTCAAACACAGGACCTTTGCCAGGCGTAGTCGTTACCACCAGGCTAAGTGTGCAGGAGACACTACAAAATTTCAATTCACTATGAAGCAAGGTACACCAGGAGTCCAATGAGTCCTGTGGACAAAAATGTTACGGGAAAAACAGTCTAGTACCCGATCGTAATACCCTCGCTTATCGCAAGGGTAAAAACAAATTGAAGAAATTATTTGAGCAGAAAACTATTTGAGCGGAAATCAAAACTATTTGAGCAGAAACATTTGCAGGCCAGATTTACAAGCCCTGGATGTATTTCGACATTACCTCATCATGGGGCTGAGAATTTAAAGTTCCTTTTAGTTTTTTTATATCTAAGTTTTAGTAAAACAATACCCAAAAAATCAAAAACAACGAAATATCACGGAAAATGATTTGAGCGGTAATATTTGGAGGCCATAATTGCAACCGCTGAGTGTACCCAGACAAAACCCCACCTTATGTTTTAGAATTTCGTTTTTTTTTAAATAATTACAGGCGAAAGCTTTAAAAAGTTAGCATTTCGAAAGAAGGAAAAAAAATGTACAGTTACAGCATTCATGCATCAACAGATGTATGGTAAAAATCGTATATGACCCTGGGAACTTAACATGTTGAATTCAATACAACAAATTGAACATAGCAGTATTTGGAATTTTTTAAACATTTCAACATAGGTACTTCTTAAACATGTGCCAAGTGAAACTCCAATTAAAAAAGTGTATAGATTGTTCCGTGCATTAGAGCCGTTTTTGGGGTACGGCTAAAGAGTAACAAAAGAAAATGCATTCCATTAGCAAGAACAAGACCCGCGCCTCGTAAGTACGCATCATACCCGAAACCAAAAATAGATCTATAATGTAACTGTTTGAGCACTTGTTTAGCCCAACTAACAGTGTTGGCGGCTGGTAGAAATCTGGTGGAAGAGTCGAATGTTTCTCTCTGCTTGTCTTCTGCACCAGAGCCGTTTGAGCGTCCACAATGCTGGACACCTTACTCGATACAGGAAGGGTGCTTGTCGTTATTGTTGTTAGCGTCGACGGAATCTGCATTACAGTCGAGTCCGATTTAGCTCTACTGTGCGAGTTCGAACTGCCTGTTGATCCACTGACGACTGTGAAAAAAGGACAAGAGGTTGATTTCTTGACCGAGTTTGGAATCGCGTCAATATATGACAATTCTGACAGCAGAAAAGCTATCACGTGATCTTTGCTGCCTTTAGCCATAAACGCTACTACCATTTTTGCGGCAGCTAGCAGACTAGAACAACGCGATGAAATTGCAACCATTTGCAACAATAACCTCAGAATTATCGCGCAGTTTTCGTGGAAGCTATTGCACAAACTTTGCCAAATTTTTCTAAGCGAGTCCGAATGTTCCGAGCCAAATTTAACAGTGATGTAGAACAAATTTGTCAGAAGAGTATCCGTCGCCGACGTTGAGCCCCACCCCGTTGCCCAACTCAGAGGTGTGAAATGCAAGGCCGGCTCTTTACACGAACTTGACTTTTGGTAGCTTCTGCTCGTGAAAGGCGGTTGGGGTAACTTGGGTTTGTTGGATGAAGCGAGGGGTGTTAGGGGAATAACCGCTGGTATGAAGGAGGGCTCGACAAGTTCGATGTTTTCCATCCAGGGAAGAACGCATTTTAACAGTGTCTCCCGTCCAGCAGCAGATGTCATTTCAAATCGACAGGATAGTTCTAAAACAAAGAAACAAATGCCGGTTGATGTTGGGATTGCAATTTGTTAGGCTGAAACGATGTATTAATTCATTATTTATGCGTTTTTCGCCTATTGCAAAGCGTCGCAAAGAACGACACAACAAAAGGCAAAAATTTCACCCAGTACCCTAATTTACACTAAAAGCAAACATCTCAAACAGCATTACCATGGCACTTTGAAATTTTCAGTTGCAGCTCGAATCACGGCTGAAAGGGCTTCATAACGATTCGTCACATGAACCTATATGTATGGCAAGAAAAAATCCAATAAAAGTTTTTATAATCTTCAGTATTTGAGCAAAATTAAGTTCAAGATTTTGACTTTAAACTATCCGGACAAAACGAAAAAAATTAAAAATTTTTAATTCGTTCATCTCAAATTGGGTTTTTATTGGACAAAAAAGGAAGAAGACAAAATTTGCTTAGAATTTTAACAGAATTTAAAAAAAATGCAATTTATTTTGCGAAATTCGGAGTCAAAGTTTTACCATAAAAATGGTCATTTAGGCTCTTTATAGTTAATCAAAAATTACGCCAAAACTACCGGGTCAACTGTTGATTACAAAAAATCAAAGTGATCTTCTTGATGAAACCCAAAAAATATACATCGGGAAGCAAATTATTATCTCCAAAATGATGCGCAAAACGTTCAAAAATAGTTTTTGAATCAAAATTTGACATTCTATTGAGTAAAAAGGAAATTTGTTGAATATCAAACAAAAATCTATTAAATTATACCAAGTTCAAGAAATTAATCCCTCCATAAATTTTGTTGAAATATAAACGTGGATCCCTTTGATATTAGTTGAACCGGTAGTTTTGACGTAATCTTAATTAGTCAAAAATGACCCTTTCTAGGATAAAATTTTGGGTCAGAATTTCGCAAAATACATTGCACTTTATTCAATCAGCTATAACTAAAAGCAAATTTTGTCTTCATTCTTTTTTGTCTTATGTTAACCCTATAGAAAAACACGTTTAAAGTTTTCAATTTTTTTTTGTTATGTCCGGTTAATTTAAATCAGCACTGTAGTCGTTGCTAAATGAATATCACAGAACGTTTTCGCAACAGTTATGATTCTGAGCAAAAAAAAAGATATTTCGGCAGGGATGGGATGCATTCATGGTCGATTTGACTTCTGGGGATCTTTGGTGTCATTTACTTTTTATTAGAGGTCGGGGTGTCGAGGAGAATGAAATCTGACTTGTGTACAATATTACCCAAAACTCAATTCCTATTTGGGGAGAAAAAAAGTTATTCTTTCAACAAATTTTCAGCTATGCTAACCGGACAATATCCCAAGAGTAAGTTCGGGCCTCGTACGACTCAGTTCTTTGGACAAATGTTTCTGTGTTTTGTAATAAGCAGCCGGTGTCGCAGCAAGGAATGACTCATCCATTATTCCGAACCCAGCTCCAACTCTGTCGTCAGGCGTGAGAAATCGATCTAGTTCCTCTTCCTCGATACCCACATTCAGGACGTGAACATTACTTCCTGGTGGTCGAACACTATTGTCGACCGAAACAGCGATAACATCAATTACACCAAGAACCTTACTTCCTAGAAGGTACAGTAACTGCAGCGCTTTTTCTCGAATACATAAATCACTGCTATCTGCAAAAAAGAGCGCCAACAGAACGAATGAAGCTGCATTGACGTCAAGACTCTGCAGTTTAGAATGCGGCATTTCAGAACAGACATTAATAAGGGTACGGAAACAAGCGTGACTGATCGCCAAAGACTTGAGCTCAAAACTCTGGTGGAACAACCACCTCAGCAGCACAGGGTTGTGGGAATTCTTTTTAAAGAGTCGCTCGACTGCACCACATGCCAAATTGTAGACCAGTGAGTTCCTCGACATCAGCATGTATTGCAGTCCGGTGTAGATGTAACTGTCTTCACACAGAAAAGCGTTTCGTTCGTCGGGTTCACTTGAAATCACCGAGCACATCGCCTGCAAAAGGAACATTTTTCCAATTTTATCTTTGAAATAATACAACTTTTCACATTTATAATCTGCCACTATTAGCCGACAAAATGAAAAAAATGTATAATTTGAACAAACTAAATTTTCGAAAAGGTAAAAGGTGCACCTGAAGAGCTGCAAGCTCCACGTCGGAATAAGCTGTCTGTTCAGTAGAAGGTGGGGATTTTCCATTTGCTATTTTTCCCAAAGTACCACACCACGCACTTGTCGAATCAAACAAAGCCCTCTGAATCTCAGAGCTGAAAGTCCTCGAAGTTCTCACATCCGGCGCCGTCTCGATCATGAAGTGTATCAACTTCGAGTACTTTATTTTGGCTTCTCGTAGAGCTCCATCGGCCATTTCCGAATTCGGATGGTCCAGGCACTGTCGGTATGAGTCGATCAAATCGTAGAAAAAATTAGCAACCGGATTACCTGTACTAGATTTAGGACTGATGGTCCGGTCAGTGTGTTCAAACAGGCATTGAGATATTACGCCTCGCTCAGATATTTTAGCGAAGATGCGCACAACCATCAATCGGAGTTCTGCTCGCTTCTTGATGCGGCGTTTGTCTGGTCTTCTGTCAGTTGCCTCTTTCACTATGTTGGAGAAATCTTCGACGCTATCTCTGAAACCAAATTACCATTGACACAGAGGCGAAGTTGCACTTCACATACACAAGCAAAAATCTGAACGATAACGCTACTGGGAAAAACTGAATGAATAAAACTTCGAGTCTACATAAATTCTAAGTGACGCAAGCCAATTATGACACATTAGCAGTCAATTTTGTTTTTTAAATAATGAAATCTACCAACTAACATGCCTATAGAGCGGACGCAATTAACAAGTATAAGTAAAAGTTCATTAAAAACATCCGACCCTGCCCAGGTTCGAACCCTCTTATTTATTTGCTGGTCTCCTTCCCTACCTCTACACTACAGATCCATGATACCTTGAATTTAAAGTGCAATTTGTAATATAATAGTCTGTTTTAATATCCTTAGCATTGGCTGTAATTGATAGCTGGATCAAAATGAACACTTTCAAAGTGAACATTTTGTCGCAACAATTGCATCGCAACAAAATTTGCAACTTAGGTTGGAAAAAAAAAGAAAGTTCATACTATAACTCAAGCTATGCTTGTGTAAAAAAACTAGTAAATGAAACATAACAAAATCAATCCATAATTCATACAGGTCGTTTCTACAAGTTACGGAGAAAAAAACACAAAAAAACTTCAAAGTGATTAAATGTTGACAAAAAAAACACATTAAGTCTTGTACTTTTCTAAATTCTCAGCTGAGTTGATCATTACCAGAAAAATGATGATTCTAAGTATGCCAGAGATGATCTAAATAATCAATGCATAAAAATACAGCCTACAGACAGTTGGAAAACAGTCAAGAACGCAAGAAAACAAAAAGTACTGACTTAAATGGGAAAAAACTTCAACTTCCGAATTTCAAAGTAAAAAATATATGGCCCTAAAGCTCTTTGATTTTCAAGATCAATTTAAGATTGACAGTTTTTTGATAAAATTGGCCCAATTTGACGAAACTGGATGAATAGGTAAAATTTTTATCCGGTGAAATCTGAAAACTAAATTCCTTCCAAACTAAAAGCCGATCACCTTTTTCGCGATCTTAACAATTTGCTGTTCGATAGTGGAGTTGTCTTCCATTTAGCAAAAGAAAAAAAGCTATCATAAGAAGAAATCAAAAGTCAACCGCGAATAATCAAATTTAAGCGCGAACAATTTTTCAGGCTTTTTCCTGAAAAAAAAACTAACAAAAAATTCATGACTCATAAAAAGCAGGAAGCACTTCTGGTACCCATGGTTGCGCGAACTTACTTGAGTGCTTGCGAGTTTGTGAAGCCAATAGCTTGCACCGTCACTTCCTTCAGATGTATGTGCTCTCCTCGTAGAATCGGAATGAGCACATTGCGCAACATCTGACCAATGGACTCTCGTTTCTCTACTCTCACTGATGGAACTGCATTACTATTATGATTATCTCCCGTTGGAGGCGACGTGTTAGGAGAGGCTTCCGGCTGGTTAATTCGTAGACTATTTGAGGTCCAACCTCCGCATGCCAATGTTATGTAATTTCTCCACACGCAGAGATAGTAATCATTGATCGGGTTAGGACGCTTCGGAGTGCGTGTTAACGTCGCTTTGCTGAATTCTTGAGGAGTCAATTGCTCAATAAACGTGAACATCAAACCAACTCTGGTGCTTACGAAGTTCCAAGCGTGGTTCACAGCTTCAATACAACCTGGACTCTTCAGGTACTGCGGACTGTCGATTAAGTGTATGACACAATAGAACCAGGGGTCAAATGAGTTTCGGATTCCGACTGCCGTGCTCTTCAGGAGCCAGATTCCAGACTGGTTCAGATTGTCTTCGGATGTCGGCAGAAGTGAAGAAGAACAAAGTGTCGATGACGTTGAGACACACTCAAATGGGAGTTCATATCCAGCGTTGACACACCACATTGAGCTCGTCTTCTCACACATCCAGTTCATGTCTGGCTGAGCAGCCGTGGCTGCCCAGAACTAAAAAAAATCGTAACTTGCGTTAGGCACGTTCCAATTGATATAATGAAGATGTTTATTTAGATTGAGAAGCTAGCGATAGGACTTGAGAAAGTAAAGAATTTTACCTCGTATTTGAAATGAATGTTCATCTGCGCAAAAAAAAGATCAAAAAATTTAACAGATCAAGACAAAAAATATCATACAAATAAATTAGATCTGTTTTTTTCTCCTTCAACGACGCGATAAAGATATCTTACCCTTTCATTTGGTGATAAATGCGGCAGCATTTCTTCTAGAATCTTCGGCAGACCCTGATCCATTTTCACAATACAGGGCACGAAATTCAAACCATTCGTTAATTTCAAATCTGAGGCCAACGAATGGGCTTCCTTCAGCAGCATCACTGCCAGTCGTCGTGTATTAGGCCTCAAATGACATAACATACAAAGAGCTAGACCTTCAATCTTCCTAACTGAACTGGCGCATGCTTCCATGTCTTCCAGTTTCAGACTGTTCGATTTGGACTTCGAACTTCCCTCGTTAGTGGAGGCTGTGTTGTTGGGAGTAATCAATGGCGGGGGTGATGTTTTACTAGTTACAGTAGTTCCAGCTGAGGTCGGCATTGCCGGAACAAACGACTGTTCCGATTGCAAACACTCTTTCCACTTGGAGATCAGCTGAATCAAGATGCGAATCATGGACTCAATCGTTGCCGGCATCGTGTCGGGGATGTCACGGACTATGAAAAGAACCAGCCTTGAAATGACATCTGGCCTCCAGTCGCGTAACTCCTTGATAACATTTCCCATGTGAGATATAGCCAGACTTCTCAACTCATCTTCCGAGTGATCTGCTAGTCGACACAGCAAATCGAGCACTTCTCTTCTGGACGAGATGGAACCTGTTGTGGTTGGTATTGTCTGAGACCCTCCTCCGAGAGTATTGGTTAGTGACAGAGGGAGGAGTCGTGGTATTGCAGCAATGCATGTTCGGAAAAGGTCTAGTTTTGGCTTCTTGTCGGCTGCAGCAAGGCTGAAACAAAAATCTTCTCTTATTGGCCCAAAATCCCAACAAAATTGTAACTTCTCTCATTACATTAAATATATCTACTGTTGAATTTCGATACAGAAATACAAAATGATCAGATAGCATAACGAGCAAAATTTTTCATAAACTAGGAAATAAACTAACTAATTTTGTTCCAGAAAATGACGATACAGAAATACATAGCCAACAGATATTTGCAATGAGGTTGATGAACTAGGATAACAATATTTCTCCAAGTTTTCATCAACTAAAAAGTTTAAACCGACAAAGGGTTCTCATATCGCAAACTAGTTAACTAGTGGCCACAAGACGGCGATTTCTTTAAGCCGCTAAAATACTATGAGGCTATTTCGTTTATTGTTCCGACAACAGCTTTTATTGTTCCGACCATTGAAAATGGGGAAGAACTTTGTATTCGGGTGTGTTTTTTTCAACTTTTTGTTTTCCATGCAAAATTTGCTACTAAAAATAATCATCGGACAGGGTTGAGTGATATGTCATATTAAAGCCCTTTCAGTCGAGATTCGAACGACATTAAAAAAAATTCAAAAAAGTATTCAGTGTCGAGAAAAACCGGTTTGAAATTTTTGATTTTTGGTCTAATTTCGAGCTAACGAGTAAGGCAGTTAGCAATTGCAATAGCTTATTTAAGCCGTGAAAATTTAGTTTAACTCAAGTAAAGGAAGTTTTAGCTCAATTTTGGGAATCGAAAACTTGAAAATTCAAAAAATTTTCGCAAACTTTGAATTTTTTTTTCGTTTTTCTAGTCATTATTCTTCAAAAACTGTTTTCCAATTGAACTATTTCACTATGACTCTCAAATATGCCTAAGTTCTTTTATTTCATTCAGATTTTTTTATCACAACATGAAGAAAAAAAACGACACCAATTTGAGATAACATTTTTGTATTTTTTAAGACTGGTCGAAACATTGAGCTCCTAGCAGAGTAATCGATTATCCTTGTTTCATACTGGCTTTTAACGGCACAGAAAACAATACTCGGTTCTCAGGCCAACTTCCAACGTCGTGAAAACGTAAACATAAAACATCTCATTTAGCAATTTAGCGACAGCCATATCAGGGTTTTAGCGAATAACGGTTCTGCAGCCTATAAACCCACAGATAAGCTTTTACAGCGAATTTATTACTTTTTTTTTTAACTTGAGTCGAAACATTGTTGTGAGTCTTTGAGGAGTTTATTAATAATAAATCGAGCCCTAATAATAAAACAATAGCAAAAAATCAGAACAGTTGTTCTCGACATCCGAATCACGACTAATAGGTACTAAATTTAATACCTCACTTGACCCCTCCGAGAGGATTACCAACTAGTCGACAAAAAGAAGGGACTTAGTCATAATATACCGGAAATACCTCAAAATGGTTAAAAAACAAGTGACAAAAATTCGATTTAAAAAAAAAAAGCTAAATGAAACTTCAAAAATTGCTAATTTAAGCTCATATTTCTTTCTATCGCTAACTATATGTTTCACGCTCTCTGCTCGCTTGTTTACTCGCTCAAAGTTAGACTAGAAACGAAAAATTTAAATCCGGTTTTTCTTGAAACAGAGAAATTATCTAGAAATTTAAAAGCCATTTTTTACTCCGTGCGAGACTTTTCTTTCTCGGTTCCCATTTGCTGCTAATGAACAGAGTATGAATCCTTCAACTTGAATAAGTTCACCAGACGAACTTCTTTTGATAACGAGACAGCTGATTTAAAATTCAATTAAACCGTTTTTATCAGTACACTCTAAGCTGATAAAAAGTCACTTTTTGGCGTCAGAAACAAACAAGTAGTTGAAAGGAAAAAGTGCTTACGCAGATGAAATATCTCTGTGCTCCTTAGTCGGCGAAGAATTCATTACATGCGTTAGCATGGGTTTTCCAATTTGCTGATCTAGGTGATACAAAATAACACCCAGAGCTTTGCATACAGGTCCATAGTATGAGCCCAGTCCATAATTCATGGCCGCTATCTCTGTCAAATTGTGACTCAAAAAAGTTCTCTTCAATTTCTGGGCGCTACCAGAGGGAAGGTTGCCACTATTAGTAGGCATGGGAGGCGACTTTTCAACCGGTTGCTGTTGCAACTGGTCCGCAATCACCAGGAACGCTCTGATTCCTACAATCATTCGTTCAGGGGTGATGGCAATTTTGGGTAACTTGGGAATTTGCAGCAACTCAAAAATGATTTCTCGCATCGCCAAGTCTAATTTCTCTTGCGCTATGAAATGTATAATCTTGACGTATATCATAAGAGGCATATCACGTGGGTTCAAATTTCTCGAGTTCTTTGGGAAGAGTGCGTTGATAATGGGTTGAAGTTTCTGACCAGAATTAACATTATCCTCTTTGATTCTCACCATATACACCCACAATAAACGGTATAAAGACTCCAGTGCCGCTCTGCTTATTTTCGTGTCTTTGTTTCTCAAACTAGCGATGCATTCGCTCACAAAACTAGTCCACTGCTGTGTGAAATACTGTGTATGGCTTATGGCCAGAAGACACGTGACTAAAGGGAACATCGCCACTGCATGTTTCTTTTTGCTCGACGCTTCACGAGTGCTGTCGAAGTAGCTCTTCACTAAGTTTTTCACAGCCGGAATGTTTACTTCATTCTTCACAACAGCTGCCACTGGAAGCAGGATCTCAGCCAGTAGTCCGGCAAAAGCGTGTCTGATTTCTTTTTCTTTACTTAGCACTGGGTCTTGGAAGTATCGAGCCAGCTCCTGTATAATACACAGACTTAAATATGCGCAAAATTGACTTCACAAATGTGGGTCAATAGTCCAGAAATTTTATTTGGTAAAGGTATTCAAATGTTATCATGTTCAGTTTTTCAAAAAAAAAGTGTGACAACAATGCTGTCATAGGACCCAGAAACCCCATCAAGATAATTTTGCACAGTTTTTCTTTATTTTAAAAATCACTCCTCCACAATTCTTGATAACCTGCTCGCAATATAGATGTCTTTCCGATTATTTACTAGAAAACTTGGTAGATTGCGGGCTGAAGAAACTTAAATTTCAGCTGATGAACCAGCGTATTGTCAGCCAACATACGTGGAGAAACTGGAAAGACATGTCGAACTCCTGTATGGGAAACATTTTCACTCGGAAGAAGCGAAGCCCCATGATGAGGTAGACAAAAGACTGAGTTCTCTCAGCCGACGTCTCCGTCCTCTTCAGGGCTCTGAACTCTGACTTGAACCAGCTGGTGATTGGAGTAAATCTAAATAACCCAGCTTTGAACAGCACAAGTTCAAGTTCTGCTAACTTCATTAGTTTCCTCTAATTATGCACTTGAAATTAATATTTTGAAATGAAAAAATTCCAGAACAAATTTCAGAACAGTCACCTGGTTTTAAGCAGCTCTCCAATCAGCTGCGCGTAGAGATCTGCTACCAAGTTAACTAGCGCGAACAGAATTGGTTTCGATGCCGCATTGCGTCTCTTCTGGGATGATTTGAAGTAGTGTTTAAATGGTATGCTTTCTATCTTCACCAGAAGTTCCTCTTCTACGGGGTGTTTCTCTAACTGTTTGCATGCCTGTAGGAGTCCCATTCCGAGGGCGAAGTCCAAATACAGCTTAAACAAACAATTGTAACGGCTTCCCATAAAAATCCTACGATCTTTTTGGAACAACATGACAATGATCGAAATTAGGTTATAATTGATGACCGCTACCGATGAGCACTCATTTGTTTTCTCAGTTAAAAAACTTACAAAAACCTCGTTTAATCACTAAAGATAGTTTTCTCTTATTGCAATTGCAAAGAGCATCACTTATCTTTCGCAACATTAAAAATAAGTATTGCTTACATCTCGTTTGTCCAAAATCAACTGATGATTATAGGCAGACGATGCACTCAAGTGGGTTGAGTTAGCCAGCCAAGCCAGAGTCTGGTTCCTAGAGACACTAGAAGTGAGACTGTCGTACCAGTGGAACAAACCTCGCAGAATGGAGGGTAACGAATGTTCCGATACTTCGTATAATGACTCCAATAGCTGGTCGAACACCGGGTCTTCGCCAAACTGGAGTGGTTTGCAAGAGTGGTACTAAAACAACGGGTTGGTGGAATCCAGAAAAACTCAATTTAGCAAACATGATGAGCTCATTGACACTATAAAACCCCCTATAAAAAGTCTTTTTGTGTCACTTAACCTCACGTTGACTGCCGCAAACGGTTCAAGTTTATCCATTAGCCTATTGAGCACTCACTTGATAAGAGCCTTGAATTCTGAGTATTAAGCACTCACTTGAATGTCTTTGAGGAGGAGTTCCTCTATCTTCAGATTAGTAGTGGACATAAACTGTGCCAGGATCATCTTCAGCACATACTGCGCAGGCTCAGAGTCCACTTCATTGCTCATGGCTAGACACACTGTGTCTCCAGTCGCACAACTCGCCGACATTTCCATGTTGCCAGAGAACGAAGCCAGAGAGGAGGCAATACTCGCGCCTGATCTAGAACAAGGCAGATAGTCCTATTCGGTTATACCAAAACTCCTACAGCAAAATCTGACTCTGGCTTAAAATATGCTGACTATCTGGATATGTTATTTCAGGCAATCAGGTGTTTTAAATCTAGGGTCGGATCCAGCCTTTACTCGGGGAGATGAACGATTTTCAAAAAATGATCTTTTAATTTTTTTAGGCCGGCCAAATTGAATTTCCGATCTCTCCCAAAACACTATAATAAAAAAGAACTTATTTCGACAAAATATCGACCATGCTTAAAGTAAAGTCGGCAGAAAATGGATTTCGTAAAATAGTCCATTTGAGTGCTCAATGGCTTCATCTAAATACGCTACAGGTTCAGTCTAAAATATTTCCAAAAATCTTCTTTCAAAGGGTTCAGACCACAAGCACCCGGAAAAAAAATCTATCACAATTTGATATATTTGCAAATATCTGATTCAAAAAAAAATCAGAAAGAATATACAACTAAATCGAGCAATTCATAATAGCCTAGCTCATCAATAAAAGGAACCGTGAACTAAATTCTTTTCTGATAACAAAATACTAACAGTTCATGAGCTATATGTGTACGATTTGATGAAGTTTTGTTTACGATCACTAAATCAAAAACATTCAATTTGTTTTCTCAATTCTTTGTTTACTTTTAAAAATTTTGACTATAATAAGCGAATTTCAGAAGGTCAAACATTTGTTCCACCATTCTGTAAGAATATAGTAAAATCATGTTCTTTGACTAAGAGGGGTTCAAAGTTATTGAATATTATGAGTATAAATAGGCTCTTACCTGAAAATATTGGATTGATGTCAAAAAATGAAGAATACAGTTTCGTCCATAAATTTAAAGATAATTTCATTTGTGGCAATTACGAGTTGGTGCAAAACATATTTCTTTGAATTTTTTATTTTTAAAAAATGGTACCCGCTGGCTAAATGCTATCAAACAACCATTCTAGGGTTGCGATTCTATGCTGAAAATATGACCCTCCAAATCCTTGTAGTTTTCGAGAAATCGCATTTTTTTAGAAAATTTTTTTAAAAAATGAAAAAAACGTAGAATTTTTTTTTTCATATAATTTCTCATATTCTTAGTTCGTCAGCTGGAATGAGAATTGGCCGAAATGACAGGACTAGATGTAATAACTATTCCTTAATGAGGGCTTAATTTTAGGGGAAAATAAATTTTTCCCCACAATCCTATTTTTATTCGAATATAAATTTATCTTTATTACTTAGTTACAATCCTAATTTGTTCAACGGGTAGACGTCAAGTAGGCACATACTGCGCCTTTTGTCTATCCCCTCCATTTTGTTGATTCAATAATTTAAATAAATTGATGCTTGTATTATCAACTTATATGGAGAAATAAATTCTTCTTCTTCTTTAACCGTGGATAATAATTCATGGATAAAAAAATGTCTCGAACCTGGACAGTGAGCTGTTGTCATTCGAATTGTAGTTCCCTCCAACACTGTTAGATTGCATGGTCGTCGAATTAGACGCAAAATTAAGGGGAAACACTGAATCAGTTTCAGTCAACGTGATGTGATACTTCATTCGGTGCATACCGTTTTCATCTGTTTCTAGATCGTCTTCTTCATCTTCATCGTGGTCGTTCAAAATGACGTCATTGTCTTCGGATGAGATCGGATGGTCTTCGAAAGCGGCGTCGTCTTCAGATAGTTGTTCCTCCTCCTCGCCAATTTGAAACTTCTTTCCCGTTGGAGATGAGAACCCAAAAAGATCTTGTCTATTAAGGGAGTTCGTACCGTGACTTCCTACTCTACCTAAAGCCATCAACTGTATTCACGTCAAATCAAATATAAAACCCACTCATAGAAAAAACTTATTATGAAACTTCGGTATCAAAATTCACTTATCAGAAGTTTGCTGCCCAAATTAAGAGATTACAATATTAGTTTTTGGGCGAGTTTGCAATTCTCAGTTAACATCAGCAGGCACAAGAAGTCTTTTTAGATATGCGAACTGAAATCCAGTACCTTCAAATCGGTTGTCTTCGTCATCTTCGACTGAATCTATTGATGGCCTCGTGACCAAATCAGAGGTAGTGGTGTCAGTTTTTATAGACGACACTCGATTTGCATCCACACATGTACTAATGAACACGGCACTATTCCTCTTACTATTGCCACTCAATGGATCCCCAGCGAATGTACTCGGTGAGCTCATTGTGTTTAAATTCGATGTGGTTTCTATGAGTGAATTGCGGTTTGATTTCGATTTCACAACCGAAGATTCAGTCCATGTTTCGTCTTTAGCTGGCGAAATTGAGTCAGAATTGGCTCGTTTTCCAAGAGACGACACATCTTTTCCCAATTCGGGCTCCATGTACATGTATTTGAGATGTAAGATCAGATTACAGCTGACAGGTAAGTGGATCACACATCCGGCCTGATAATGTCATTACATTTTGCTCCAATAAAAATCTCTACCATCAAATCAACCTGCAAAGAAGCAGAAAACCGTATATAGCACAGTCACTAAATTAGGACAAACTTAAAAATTGCACGCGTAACTAACACTTCATGCTCTATTTTGACGAGGGAAGCACAAATTAGCGTTACTTAATAGAATATCTTAACGATCTCAATCTTGGAAGCTCTAGCTTCTTTATTTAACACATTCAGACTTCAGAATTTTAAAGCCGATAACACATTGTCTCCAAGAGGGCAGAACTGCTGATGACTCCCATGGCCCTACATTCGTTTTTTTTTAGTTTTGCTTAACAATAATTTGAGCCAATTTTCCGCGCTCTCCTTCTGAAAAGAGCAATCCAAAAATTTAGGCCGATTTACCACGCTCTCCTACAATAGGGTCTTTAAAGTGATTTCAATTTTATAGTGATTCGATTGGAGTCTCGCATACCCTTCTTAAATTTTATCATTCTTAAAACTCAAACTCGAAATCTATTGAATCTTCTCATTAAAATCTAGCTAGCTAAGAAAATAAATTCAACAATTCAGTCAAGAATTAACGACCAATACGTCTTCCAGGTCAAAAGTCAGAGTCCCCTTCAGTTTTGCTTTCTCAACTTCAGTCACTATCTTGGTCTGCACTTGTTGACATACTTTAGTATGGAAAGTATGCAAGACTTCTTTTTTGTACGGATGAATAAACTGCTTCAGAAGCTCCGGATTCCTGTAGTCGATCTTCAAGTCTGGATCTCTACAAACCGGACAAGGATTTGCAGACCTAATGTAGTTCTTCACTAAACACTGTTTCCTAGTTTTCAACTTCGGAATTGCACCTTTGAAATTTCTTCTATAATCTTCCCAGACAAATTTGTCGCCATATGTGTTTTTATACAGGGAAGATTTAAGATAGTCAGCGCCAAAATTACCACTCAAATCTTCGTTCGGAACATGATTAATAGCAGAGGTCATTGCTTTGAACTTGAACACTTTTCCTTTTACGCTATCGTCGTGTTCTTTGAGATAATGTCGTGATGTATTGAACATCCTAATCTGACGATCACATAAGCATGGAGAACGGCCTGTTTGAGCTATAGATAAGCCCGCAACACTCCGTAAACCGTTGAAAATTTTAATTGCCATTTAGGTATAAACTGAAATAGCAAAACACTTATATTGATTAGAAACTTCCGAAGAGATCAAAACTTCGTAGCGGTGATACAGAGGCAAAGCAGAGCTTCGCACCTCTTGCGATGCAATTCAAAAAAAAGAAAATGAGTCGGAACATCTACATTTAAAAACTATAGCTACAAAAACTTCATAAGTTTGTCTCAAATAATGTTCAATTTAAGAAAAATTATGAGATTAACTTGGGTAGACGTTAGTTCAGCCAAAAATAGAACTAACATAAGATGATTTGAGCTATAAAGCTGTGAAACTCGAGGACTTCCCCTCATGAAAAGAACAAACGCATGAAAACCTAATTTTGCCCTTGAAACAACGCAATATTAAATGACTCAGCCAATACATTTGCTGATACCATTTCAGCCGAATATACCTTTTGAGCAAAACAAAAACTTTAAAAAAAAACAGAAATTATACAAAATCAGAAGTAGCAAATTAACAAAATTTAGGAACGAAGCAAAAGCCTTTTCATCTCTGGCAAAACTTGCCTCAACCAGAAAACATTTGCATGATTTGGAAATCAGCCGACAAAAAAAGTCAGATAGTTAAATTTCTTCCAGAAAAAACAGCACTTATTAAAAATCATCTCCTGGCTACAATTGAACTCATGGCAACTGTCGTCTGAAGCAAGGACGTTTTACCACGCTAAACAGTCAAAATTGGTACCTTTAACTCTGCTATACTATAAAAGTACGCTGAGCAAATGATTCACTGATTTTGTTTAAGAAATTGTTAACCCAAAAAATCTATACTCCGATTTTAGAACACTTGTTAATCACAAGCGTTATGAGCCGAATTAACCAGTTGATCCTCGTTTCCCACACAGGCAGAACTAGGTTTGTTTCGACAAATAAAAATGAGTTGGAAATTTGTATTCGGTGTGTTTTAGTTTTTTTTTGTTTTCCACGCAACATCACCTACCACAAATAATCAGAGGAAAAAAATCGAGTGACATATCAAAATGAGCCGTTTCAGTCGTGATTCGAATAACAGCAAAACACTTTCAAAAAAAATACTCTGTTTTTGAGTTTGTCTAATTTTGCGCGAGTAAAAAATTGGTCTTTTCGGCTGAGAAAACATGATTTTTTGGAACAGAAACAAGAACTTTTTTTTATTTTTACAATTTTTGCTCATTATTCATTTTTATGACAAAAAAGTAAATTAAGCCTAATTTAAGAACTTGCTGCGCATTCAAATAGTTTTTTTTGTAACACGCACAAATTTGAAGAAAATAAAAAAAAACTTCAGAAAAAAATAAGAAAATATGGTCGGAACATTCTGAGCTAATTGCACAGCAATCAGCTATCCTTGTTATATTTCTGCGCAAAACTTTAAGGTTTTTTTAAAAACAAATTGATCAAACCCTCAAAACTATTGGTTTTCCGATCTTTGTGTTTTTAACACAGACATAACACCCTTAATTGGCCGTAAGCATACAACTGCATTTTCCATGCTTAAAAAAATCATGTATATTTGGAAAAACACTAAATTCATGAAGGAGATTCTTGTGTAACCAAGTTTTTCAATTTTATTAGACTTTATATATATCATTTTCTACCGTCTATAGTATAATCCTGCGTAATAACTCTTAAAATTTTAGATTTTTTTTTATAGTTTCAGTCTTTGTTTAAAAAAATTTCTAATATAATACACACGTAAATTTCGGAAAATGAAAAACGTTTGTGCAGAAAAACTAGGATGAAGGCCATATCTGCAACTGCTAGTCATAACCGGACATCACCCAACCAAAGGGTCGACAATTCCGAAAAAAAAAACATTTTGAAACATTTTGAAAAAATCGTAAAAAAATCCATATCTTGGAAATTAGGAAATTAAAAAGATTTGAGCATTCACATTTGGCGGCAAAATTTGCGCCTCTTTAGAGAGTTGGTAAGTTGAAAAATTTATGAATAATTTTTCAAAATCATGAAAAAACGTCTCGAAAACTAAAAAGGATTTGAGCGGTCACAAACCCCTTTGAGTATCTTGACAGCACAATGTTAAAAGGTTCGGAAGGTCAAAATTTGTAAACTTGTTTGATCTAAATTTATAGATAACTTTAGAAAAAACACACTGAAATCGTCGTATCTTGTAAGCTAGAAAGATTTAAATATTCATATTGAGAGACCCAATTTGCAACTCCTTCAGCAAACCTGACAGCATCCCGTTCCCTTGTTGGGTTGCTAATTCACCTTGTTGAAATCAACAAAGAATTCAAACTCAAAAACTTTTTTAAGCGTAACAACATACGATACAGCTTAAATGTTGAAAACATATTTGGTTCTGCGTGCAAAAACATCAAATTGATAAAATTTTAAAATGCTGAAGCCTGGATTTAAATATCTAACAAATTATTGAGGAGAGATACGAGTATTTTTGTTCTCTTAATATCAAAAATGTAGTCCACAACCTTGATTGCACTAATTGATGAATCGTGAATTTTATTTGTAAAGTTGTTTCTTCTCATTCAAAAAATGTTGCAATTCAATACAAGTCAGCGCGGAAAACGAATATTGATCTTAGAAGATGAAAAACGTAATAGAGTCGGTTTAACGAAAAAAGCGGGATATCAACTTGGAGATTTTCAAAAGACCTTGCAAATCAGCAGTAGTCACACGTGATTATTTATATGAGGCGAAACAATTGGATCATTTACAATCAAGGTTGCCTCCTGATCAAGAAATTGAAATATAAGTTTCTATACGCGTTTTAACTTTTTCGCAATTTTTCAATTTGAAAGTTGAAGGATAGCCGGTTACTGTGCAAGTTTTTCAAATTTGTGTCGTTTTGTTTCTGCGTGGTGTGATAGAACAAACTAAGATTTTAGGCATTCTCGACAGTCACAGTAAAATAGGCAAATTGGAAAGCTATTTTCGTAGAAAAACAGCTAGAAAAAAAATATTTCAAAGAATTTCACTGAAATTTGTTGAATTTTTCAAGTGCTCGATTCCCAAATGGCGCTGAAAAACTCGAGAAACGCACTTAACTCGAGTAAACCTAAGTTTTCATAGACTTAAATTAAACATACGAGCTATTGTAAGACTGCTCGCTCGCTTTGTTTGCTCGAATTTAGAATAAAAATCAAAACCTTCAAACCTGTTTTTCTCGATACAGTGATAATTTTCTGATGTCGTTCGAATCACGACTGAAAGAACTTCAATAAGATATATCACTCGACACCGTCCGATGATTATTTGGGGCACCTGACTTTGCGTGGAAAACAAAAAACGAAGAAAAAACTGAAACAATTTTTTTAATAACTGATTTTAACATGCACGCAGACACAAAGTAAACATTTCGCAAGCCTTTGAACGGCGAATATCAAGCATTGGTAAGAAATTGAATGTCGAAATTACCAAAAACTGACTAATTTGAAAAAAAAAAACGGTTATTGAGCTGGAGATTGAGGTATATGAATCACGCAGTTCTTTCATTCTAATGCCAGACAAAATGACTTTAAAAAAGAGCGTTGTTTTCAAAGATTCAACTAGTCAAAAACGATTCTATGACTTTTCAATACAAGATTCTCATGAAACATAACACAGAAAGAAGAGTGCCAAGTGATAATGAATTAAAGCAGTAGCGGATTTAGGGACGGGGGTTGCGGACGCCTCCTCCTTCTCAGGGATTCGACCCCCTGCCGACCCAAAGACTCCCCTCTTTGTACTATTTTGAGATATCCAGTTTTGGATGACTAACCTAAAAAAATTCTAAAGGCGCCATCGGGGCCAATTTATACTAATTTGGAGGTGGGATCGTTTTGTGGCCTGTTTTTTGAAAAACTTGCCTGCGGCGCAGAAAATTTGGTCAATAAAGGCTCTTTATAGTGATTTGGGAGTGCTAA